ACAATACTAGCCACACGTTAACAAATACATTCAATCTTTTTTTCGGAAAAATACTGACATTTTTGATTTATTAATTAATAATTAGAAATGGATATTTAAAAGTTGTTATGGTTATAATATAATGATAGTTATTATAAATTGTTTTATTAAAGTCAGTTAGAATATTCTATATAAAAATACTATTACGGTTACAAAAGTAACTATCTTATTTTATTAAAATGTGTTGGAGGTGTCCTGTATCACGTGCGGCTGGTTATGGCCCCACCGTACAGGGACCTCCCTTGCTATAGTTTTAGATCTTCAGACTTGCTCAGTCTAAACACAACAATACATCATTATCATTGGATTCGTTCGTGGTCGTTCACCCTGTTCACACATGTATATTCTTTGTATATATATTGTCTTATCACGCTAAACTATTTACATATTCTACCCAGTGGGTATGTGGTACTGCTTCCGTTCTTAGTCGGTGGGAAAAACCGTACCGTAGCCGGATGAAAACCCTCCGCTTCCCTATTGCAACGACGCCGTGTCGACGCCGTGCCTTCGATGTTTATCTTCCTCTCGGTATGACGTCACCGTCATTCCCGAGGCCCGATCTTTGATTCCGCTGCGTGTTTCCCCGACCGTACTCCCGCTCTCCAGAATCAAAGATCAATCTGAATTCCCTAGTAGCTCTTCTGCTTCCTTCGCTTGTTCGATCTTCACTGCCAGCTCGTACTCCTGCAGTCGTCCCAGTCGCAAAGCCCAGCGAAGGATTCGTTCCGCCCCCGCAGTTGGAATATTAAGTAGAATAAAAAAAGTTAGGATTATAACTTAACTTTCTAACTAACTAGTGATTTTGTCAATTTAATTAAACTATTAAGAAATTACTATATTACTAACCCCACGATGCTGGGGCTTTCTAAGTAATTGGATTCATAGCTAGCAAAAAAGAAGGTCTTCTATAAAAACGATAATAAGTTAATTAAAAAGTTACGAATTGGATTAAGGAGAAGAGTAATAGTAAGGAAATAAATGCATTATCCTATACATAGTCACTTTTAAAGCTTTAAGGCTGAGCTTCAATCCGGGAATGAGGGTAGTTTAACGATATAGGTCCCGTCACCATAGTATTGGCCTTGCGCGGACTTATTCGTTATATCAACTGCATTGTTTGGTTAGTTGAATTATTTAATGGGTAATGTGATTAAGCGCGACTTGTAGGTTATATATATTATAAATTATATAAGGAAGGCGGTTAAGGATAGTAGAATCTGGGTATACTTAACGGGTTATAACTAAGTCAGATTCTAACCTCTTACCCTTTCCTTTCTTAGCTTTAGTTATTTTATCGTTTTATATATATTTGTGGTGCTTCAGTTAAACGTCCCTGCGTTGCATTGTGGTATCCTTACAAGTCTGTTATAATAACGCTTAATTAAATAGTTTTGAGTTAGTAAACAGTTATATACTTTATCGCCCTATTATTATATATAGTAAGAGTATATAAATGGGTAAGAGGCTCAAGGCTATATAAGTTGCCCCTCGGTCCCTCTATAAGTTAAAAGTCTAGCCTTTTTTAACAACCTTTCGAGCTCGGGTGACGCAGTGGTTAGCGTGTTGCTCTTATACTAGTGTTTCACGATACTTGTTATGCAAAGGTCGCGGGTTCAAGTCCCGCCTCGAGCAGCTTTTTTTTTGTTTCGGTTTTGGATTTCTATCTTAGTCCTCCGAGATATGAAGTCCAGTCTAATTCATCGCTTCCAGTCCAGCCAGCGAGCGCTGGTGCAGTTTAGTTATCAGATGTAAGATGATCTTACTTGATATTCCTTGAATTACGCTCTCTTGATCATCGTTTTTTTTTTTCCTTTGCCGGTTCTGCATGTCACTTCTTGCTAGCCGCTCACGCGCCGTGAACGACGTGTCGAGACTCGGTTCAACGTGGGTTCGAAGTACGACCTTTGCATTAAAATGGACAGTCTTAGGTGGATTCACGAAAACTGTCTGTAACATGGAATGAGATGTAGATATACCTAAATGATGATACTGCGAGACTGTCTTACTTGAATCGCTGCCTTCCTCCGAACATCAGATTTACATACAAGCAGAAAAAAGGAGACAACGAGATATACCGAGCAGAGAAGGACATAGTGATACATAACCTCTCTATCCTTTGAACGAGACGATCTTCGTCTTCGCACATACCGCCTTTGCCAGTGTTTGAATCGACCCACTTGATAGAAGTTCCAGCACCTGAAGATTCGCCTCAAACTCACGGGTAACGAAATTGCGGATCTCAATAGCCACCAAAGAATCCAAGGGATAGTGCGAGAGAGATAGTGTGATATCCATGTCGTCCGCGTCAAGCATCAGCACAGATGAAATCTTCTCAACCAGCCCTTTGCATACCACGTCTTCGGCCTCAGTGGGTGATCTGGCACCCTTCAAGGCTGCATTGAACGACACAACCGCGTTCAACGATGCGTTCTTTGCCGCCTCATCTTCGGCTGCTATGCGCATAGCCTTGAATTTTGCATCTTCGGTCCAGAACGGTCGCAGTGTAGAGGTAATACGCATGCCGGTAATCGTGTGATTGTTACAGGCCGACGTCAGCTTTCCACTAATGGCGGCATGCAACAGGGCGAGAACCTCTGCCTCGCATATTGTATCGCTCCCAAGATTTCGGGCTACCTCAGCAGCTTTTTCGAGGTCTTCAGCTAGATAGCCGGAATCGGAAACAGCGGTGAGGTCAAGTGATGACGCAGGAAGACCATGGGCAAGCCGGTACTGGACCAGACCATTCAGGAAGCAGTTTGCTGCACTATATGCCGCTTGCCCACGGTTTCCCACGGCACCGGCTGCGGATGAAATAGCCACGAAGAAATCGAGTGGCGAGGATAACAATGCTTGGTGAAAGTTCCAGCCACCTTGGACCTTACCCTCAATGACTTCAGTATAGTCAGTCCATGTCATCTTCTCGAAAAGAACGTCCTGCAGAGGATGGTTAGCCATAATGATTATCAACTGGACGCTAGGCCAAGCGTTCACCGGACTTACGCGCAAAACCATCGTTCCGTGCACAACACCCCTAATAGGGGGCAGCCCCCGCAGTCCAGTTTGGATGAGCTCGTCCACTTCAGCTTTGTTGACCACATTGCAGCGGCGGACATGGACGCTCACTCCAAGCACAGAGAGATCTTTGACAAGTTCTTTGACCTTTCCGGTGATGGAACCGCTCCTCGAGACAAGAACGATGTTCTTCGCACCCTTTCCTGCCATCCATCGCGCCATACTTCTTCCGAGACCACCGGTGCCGCCAACCAAGATATATGTCGCATCGGAATGAAGGAGATCCTTTGACCGGCGTGATGGCGGGGCCTGTAACCTAGAGTCAGCAAGGACATGATAGCAAGGAGATGCAATGTTGCTTCTGATGGATGTACCTTGACAAGATCAGACCCACCCAGAGTCACCACCACCTTGCCGATAACAGAACCGCCTTGTTGCATCTTCAATGCACCTTCGACATCTGAGATTGGAAAGGCAGAAAGCGGGCTTGCCGGCCGCACCTTTCCGTATCTAAGCAGTCGGGAAATATCGGCAAACACACGTTTGAGGACTTTTGGCCGTTCGGCCAGCAGAGCAAAGATGTCAACCGAAATAAAGCTGGCGTTTTTGTTGGCAGCGGATACTTCCACTCGAGGCTTCGATGCAAAGTCGCGCTTGCCTATGTCAACGAGCCGCCCAAACTTGCCGAGAGACTCCCAGGATTCCCGCAGCCCATCACCAATCAATGAGTTGAGGATAACATCTACCCCCCTGCCACAGGTAGCATGGCGAATGGTAGGCCCAAAAGTAGTGTCGCGGCTGTACAGGACATGATCGGAAGGGAGACCGAACTCATTGACGAGCAGCTCCTTCTTCTCAGCACTCCCAACCGTCGCGAAAATCTCAGCTCCAATCATCTGAGCGAGGCAAATGGCTGCTTGACCGACAGCCCCTGCTGCTTGGTGTATGAGGACGGTCTCTCCCTCAGCCAAGCGCCCAACATCAACCAGGCTGTAATATGCAACGCAGTAACCAAGGGGCAACGTGGCAGCTGCTTCAAAGGAGATGTGTTCCGGGACCTTGAATGCTAGGCTGGCAGTTGCCCTCGCTCGCGTCGCGAAAGCGCCTTGTGTGAGCGCTGTAACACGATCGCCAACCCTGAAAGAGCAGACACTGCTCCCAACAGCGATAACAATCCCGCTTGCTTCAGCGCCAGACATGGTGATGGGAATTTGACCCTTTGCAGCCATGGAATCTCGGAAATTCATGCCGACAGCCTTGACCTCAATCTCAATTTGATCAACTGCCAGCGGCACTTCCAGTGAGTGGTCGTCGACAAAGTGAAGTGTACCCAAAGCACCGGGCGCAGAGATCTCCAGCCTCAGAAGTCGGCTGTTATTACCAAAAGCGGTGGGCTCTAAGGCTCTTGGATTTGTCAAATTGTGCACTTCTTCGTCGGTTTCCCTGTCATGGGTGATGCGCGGGGTGAAAAGCGATCCCTCCCTCTCCATAAACTCTTGTTCACTCATCGATGAGGAAACAGACCCGAAAGCGATCTTGAAGACGCTGAAGATCACGTCTGCCGCCTTGGCTTCCGAGAGAGGCGTGGCCGCATCGAGATCCAGCGTAGCAAACCGAAGCGCGGTTTCCGAACGGATGGTTCTGCTGAGACCAGTAACCATGTTTGCCTCCGGTTCAGTGCATTTGTCGTATGCTCCCTTGACTACCCATAGAATAGCCTCAACCCTGGTCAAAAGCGTTTGCAATCCAGAGAACTGCGATGGCGTAAGAGTGGCCAAGAAAGGCTGATGCAGCTCATTCAGGAAGATGCAAGTCTTTCCTTCTGGGTCAACTGTGCCGAGGTTACCGACTTCAGGTAACCTCCCCGTAACTTTCTCGAGTGCGTTCGCCAGCCCCAGAGCGACAAGTTTCTGAAAGTTGGAATCCTCATAAATGATTACAATTTGGACACCAACAGGAAGCTGATTCGTCCTGTAATAAACCGGCTCCCATTCAAGCTTGTAGCAGAGGTCGCGAGGAGTAGTGCTTTTCTCTAGAGTATCCCCGTTGAGAACAGGTGAGATTGTCAAGCCATCAACTGAAATCGTGCTCTCCATAGAAGCAGCTGGGGCCGCAACCATTTGCACCTTGAACGGCCGATGAATGCCAGGAAAGACCTCGCCCTTGCAAATGGCGCGCAGCGTATTTCCAGGCTCGCGTGCCAGTTGGGTTATGATTGAAGAGATGGTCATGTAGTCAATCGAGGACGGAAGGTAGATCGTGTCAACTTCTCGGCGCCCTGCCCCAAGTATCGGCCAGTACATACCAATGAGCGACTCGAGAAATGCGGGCTGTACCACGGCTTCGGTCAAGTGGCCACCTGGCATCTCCTTGGCCACATCCGTAACAACAATATCTCCTGTTGACTGTGTGTCGCATGCGTTGATATTGTCGAGACCTTGGAAGGTAGATCCGTACATAACCTCAAGCTTGTTCAGGGTCTCGTACATCTGCTGAGAATTGACTGAAGCCCATTGTGTGTCGTCGGTGGTTGGTGTAACAGAACGTAGGTGGTCTTCAAAGCCATTCCCGGCTTGTAGGCCCCGAACCACATCATTGTCCGTGGTTTTGGCCGTTGCGATCAAACCAACGCAATGCTCTACCCAACCTTGGCCAGAAGACCATGAGCAAACCCTGAACTCGTCCCATGTCTCAGATGAGATAAGGGTACTCTCTTGGTGCGGACGGAGACTAATTGTAATCTCAATGTCGTTGTCTGGGATCACGAGCGGCTTTGTTATGGCAATGTCCCTCATCTGGTACTTATCAAATGAGCGGTGTTTGCTTTTCGCCTTCTGGGAGGCGGCCTCCATAGCCATCGCGAGAAAACCAGACATGGGAAACATGATCAAGTTTTGAACTTTGTGATGACGCAGCCAGGGTAGGTCGTCCAAGCGAACGATGTTGCGCCATGTGGGCTCTAGATCGCTCGAGTAGTTGGCCAAGACACCGATGATGTCGCTCCTCGAACCAACCGCGTTCTTGTGCATATCTGTCATACGAGATTCCTGCCAATACCTTGTAGAACGGTTCCAAGGGTATCGTGGAAGATCTGTCAGCAGCGTTGGTGGTTTGGTTGGCTTAGGGAAGTTGACGGCACCAAAGTCAAGATTTGCCCCTCTGGTGAACAATTGCGCGGCAAGTTCCAGAGCGGTCTCAACGGCGTTCCGTTTCCTAACAAGAGCAGAAGCGTATGGAATCTTTGGTGCGCTTCCGCCGACCTCTTTGAGCACCTGCTTGATAGGTCCTTGGAGTCCGGAATGAGGACCCAGTTCGACGAGCATGTTGACTCCGTGCTTGTGGTCGCCGACCGGCGCAAGCATGCTCTGCAACGCCTCACTGAAGCGTACAGGACAAGTCAAGTTGTCAACCCAGTAGTTAGGCTGCAAGTCGGCAGCGTCAACAAGATGACCATACAGAGAAGAGTGAAACTGCACGCCAGTCCGAGCTGGCGGTGGAAGATTGGCGATGGAGGCACGGTAATCCTTGGCGACCAAGTTCATGTGGTGGGAATGGTAAGCGACGTCAACGACCAAACGCCTGTTGAAAAGCTGCTTCTTCTCGCAGATCCTCTCTAGTTCGGCCAAGGCAGGTTCATCGCCGGAAATGGTCAAGCTGGAAGGACTGTTGTAGCAAGCAATCCTGACTTCCTTCTCTTGTAGCCCTTCGATAAGGGGTGTGAACTCCTTCTTGCTTCCTCCAACAGCCATCATGCGGCCCTTGAGCTCGGGGTACTTTTGCTTGAGAATAGGGATCAGCCTGCCTCGATGGTAGGCAATTGCCATGGCAGATTCGAAGTCGATAATGCCCGCAGCATATGCAGCGGCAATCTCACCACTGGAATGACCTGCCACAGCAGTTGGCCGAAGACCCCAGCCTCGCAGCAAGTTAACGAGTGCCAATTGGACCGCAGTACATGATGGCTGGCTAATATGAGCCTCACTGACCCCGCTGGTTTTGGAATCTCTGCCGAGTTCCTCTATGCGAGTAGTAATTGAGTTAGTTAAAATACTCCCAAAGATCTGTTTGGGGGGAAAGGGGGGGGGGGAGTCATGGTGGTGACCCATGCTTACCAATAAGTGACCATTCCGCCCCGAGGGCAGCTAAGCAGGTGTCGGCCAGCAAAATACTCGTGGTAAATGTCGGATATTGCTCGTACAATTCCCGACCCATGGCATACCACTGAGCACCTTGACCGGTAAAGATAAAACCTAGTCTGAGAGGCTCGGTTTCTTTACCGGTAATAACCTTTTCTCCGTTGATTGCTTCGATCAACTCAAAGGAGTTGATGGCGGGTATAGCAGCTCTCCATTGCAGGAGGGACCGCCGCTGTCCAAGCGTATAAGCAAGATTGCTGGTGAGATCTACCTGGAAGATCTCAGGTCTCTGCTCAAGGTAAACCACGATGTTTTTCATCTGTTGCGAAAGAGCCGCCTTGTCATTGGCCGTGACAACGTAAAGCTTGCGGCCTGGCCCTGACTTATCGGACGCCATGATGGTGTCGTCATGGGAGGGCCCCGAAGTTTTAGGACCCAGAAATGGTGCTGCCGTTAGTACAATATGGCCGTTTGTTCCACCAAATCCGAAATTGTTGACGCTGATATATTTTTTGCCGCGTGGCCACGGCCTTTGGGTCACCGGGACCTTTAGGTTCCACTCCTTCCAGGGGATCTTTGGGTTTGGCTGTTTGAAATCATGGTTCGGAAGGATGAAACCACGCTCAAGCATGAGGGCTGCTTTGATGACACCGGCAATACCTGAAGACAAAGCAGATTAGTTAGTCTTGGATAGGGCGGCCACAGTTTGAAAATAACGGAGTGATAATGACATACCGGATGCCCCTTCCAGATGGCCAATGTTGGATTTTACAGAGCCGATCCATAGAGGGTTACGGGGGGTTCTGTCTTGGCCCAAAACATTGTGAATGGCAGTAGCCTCAATGGGATCACCGACCCTAGTGCCGGTTCCATGGGCCTCGACAAAACCGCACAAATTCGGGTCAAGGCCAGCATTGCCATAGACTTGGCGCATAAGGTCCTCTTCATGTTGAGATTAGTGGTTAGCTTCTCATCTGAGTCAGGTCAGTTAACGCGACTATACTTGCTGACTGACCTTGCGCCGACCCATTTGGCATAGTAATGCCGGGCGTCTTGCCATCCTGGTTAAGGCCAGTTGCGGCAATGACTGCCCTGATAGGATCATTATCCTTTATAGCCTGGTCCAGTGGCTTCAGGACAATCATGCCACAGCCCTCTCCACGGCCAAACCCGGTGCCTCGATTGTCAAAGGAAAATGAACGGCCGGTATCCGAGAGCAGTCTGCAACCGTGGTGATTAGAACATGAGGACTATCAGATGCAATGGAAATGTGACACCATGCTAGCAGGGGAAACCTTTATCGCTGTATTAGACTCACCTGCAAGTCGAAAAGGATACCCAGAACTCGGGAAGTATGTTGAGGTGACAGCCACCCACCAAAGCGGAGCTTGATTCACCGGTTCGCAAGCTTTGACAAGCCAGATGGATGGCTACCATGCTAGAGGAACATGCTGTGTCGGCCGTGAAACTGGGGCCTCGTAGGTCGAAGAAGTGCGATATACGGTTGGACTGCATGGCATATGCACAACCTGGTAAAGCCAACGTATAAAGCATGGTGTCAGACTCGCATACTCTTTGATATCTCTACCAGAGGCAGTTTCGACGGAAGGAAGTAAAGAGACTTACCGGTCGCCTGGTGCATAGGTATGGTATCTGAGTCTCTGAAGAGATGAGATTCGTACTCGGGAAAGGAACCGCCGACAAAAACACCTACGTCCTTTCCGACAATGGTATGCTTTGGAATGCCAGCATTTTCGAGTGCTTCAAAAGTGCATTCGAGAAGAAGACGCTGCTGAGGATCCATAGAAATGGCCTCCTTTTCAGTCAGACCAAAAAACGGGGCATCAAAGGCGGCTAGGTCGACATTCAAGAAGTTGCCGCCGAGGGGATTCAGGGTGCCGCCTTTGCCCTGGTTGGGATGGTGGAAACGGGCACTGTTGAATCTCTGCTTGGGGATTTCAGACCAGCCGGACCGGGCCCTAGTACAGAGTTCCCAAAACTCGGCCGGAGTAGCGACATTGCCGGGCATGCGACAAGCCATTCCAACAATGGCTATAGGCATATCTTGACCAGAGTCGGCAGTCCAGCTGCCATGGCCATTGGTGTCGATCCGGAGGCCGTCAAGAGGGGCGCCATTACCGTTGCCATGGCCATTGCCATGACCATTCCCTACGGTGGCAGAATGGCCGTGTTCGCCATGGGTATGGCCATTGTTGCTGATGTTGTTATGGCCGTTACCATTACGCACGTGAAAGTAGCCGTTGCAGCTGTCGCCAGAAGGACTGGCGGTTGAGCTATCTGGCGTCACAGCAATGGGCGCCATTGCAGGCCAAGGAGGTCCGGTCGACTAGTCTCGTTGTCAAGGGCTTTGATTGTTCAGGAGGGCAGTAGTAGCTTGTCTGTTGTGATGGGCATATAGAAGGACATTACGATGGTCAGAAGTGGGCAAGAAAACAAACAGAGCGGAGGAGTTGGACTCTTATCTGACGGCGGCTGGAGAGACTGCAGTATACAGGAGCAACTTGAGGTGGTGATGACGCGGCTGGTGCAAGATTGGACCGGGAACACAGGCCCGATCTGGCAGGAAGACAATATGCGAGCCTGGACCAATCCCCCGGTGACTCTCCTGGGGTGAAGAACGGAGGCTGTCGACCGAGTCCCAAACCTGGAGTATCGGGAGAAGCGGGCTGTTGCGAGGGGGAAGGGCTGCGATCGGACGGCCATGGGCGAAGGGAGCTTTGAACAGACCAGGCTAGGTATAGGTACCAATACCCAGGGGAACAAGGGCCGATTCAACTTGCTGTTCGCATATCCACAATCAGCGTGAATCAGTATCTCCATCCACTGTCCACACCATCAACGAGTAATAGATATTTCAGACTCCATCGCCGGCAAGGTAACATCCCCAGGCCCGTGTGCGGCGGCTAATCTCGCAGAGTGTCGTCCAAGTGGGAGTGATCTGTGTCAAGGCAGTCAGGGGGATTTGTCCGGCGAGAGGTTGGGTGAATTGACGAAGCCGGAAGGGTGGACGGTGGGTGGGAGTATCATGACATCCTGGAGGGTGACGGGCGGCTGGCATGTCACCAGCGACGGATGATCAAGGCAGCTTTTGTTTTCTCAATTTCTGCTCTCGGACGACATGGTGTAAACTGCAGTGGACCGGGTCAAGTCACGTTACTTGACGGCATGCGCGGGTTGAAGGATGAATGGAAGGTGCCCTTGAGGTAATTACAACGTTCATGATGGGAAGGAACAGACCGCACATGGTTGACGTTCTGGTGCAGTGCTGGATGTAAGTTCAGGAAAGTGGAAGGCGAAAGGCATGTCGTTGATGAAAGCTTCTTATCGATAACATTTAACCGCTCTCTGTGATTGGTGGCTTGATCGGTCGGTACTTGTCACGGCATTGGGATGGGACGGTACCTGAAACGAGCAGCACGCCCAGAACACGGCACTTGCCGCGCATAAGTGCTAAGAGTCAAGGCGTCGATACCTCTGATCAGCCGTTGCTATGTAATGCCCCGCACAATTCAAGTGTAAGGGTACCTGCTAATGATTCTTGCAAAGTATAGTCCTTCCATTACCAAACACTACCTTGTTCAATTGACGTCTCTGATTGCCTTCCATCTCTGGCCCGGCTTCAAGTGCAGTGCCCAAGTCGAGTGGAGGGTTGCAGTTTCTGCCATTTACCATCACCACATTCCAAGCCCACATCTCCTCTCCGCGTCCAGTTCTTGAACAATCATCTATCTGCAGCTCTCGCCAAACTTGGATCCCATCAAGCTTTATCCAGCTTCCAACCTCAATCAATTCCTCCACGGAACCCCCAACCCAAGAGCAATCTCTTACTCAATGCCCGATACTATCATCCTAATTGACCACATATCACAGCACTCATGCTTCCAGCTTTCCGGCCCCCGCAATCTATACCAACATCGCGGCGACACGGCTTCCTTGTCTCCGATGCTCTAGAATCTGGATTCTGTAATTCGGTCAAGACCAAGGTCAAGCAAGACCATCGGGATCCGCCGCCGTGTATCCCCCCGAGCGCTCAGCTACGATGGCTATCTGGCATACTCCGTTCTCCGGCACCTAGCTCTGGGGGGGGGGGGTGTTCACGAGGTGATACACGAGGGCGGGCATAGGTACACCAGATAGGTGTATGTAATATTTCCTGCCTGCCATGTATGGTTGCTGTGTACAGGTACAGTGGTGTACAGGTCCAGATCCAGGCCCAGACCAGACCCAGGTGATGTGGTATATCTGATGGCTCCTCACCTTTACGCCTCCCCACTCGCCATCTCGTCGGTTCACAGACTATCTCAATAGTTGCTTTTCTATGCCCATTGCCACGAGAAGCAAGGCATATACTTATCGTCATGAGATTTCTCTGTCTTCCCGGAGCCTATGGCAGCTCTGATGTAAGTACACGCTGACCTTCCCTTTGATGACCGCTTGTAACCCGACATAACTCGTGTCAGAAGTTCCAGGTTCAGCTAGGTATGAAGGACGCGAAACAGGGAGAAGCCTTTCCCACAAGGCTACCGAGTCTAACAACACCTCAAACTAGCACCCATTGTCAAGGAATTGACTGAGGATGGAATGGCTACCTTCCACTTCATCCACGGCCCCTGTAAAGCCGTGCCGCCCGAGGGCTTTGAGGAGTATTTTGGAAAACCCCCTTATTACCGCTTCATCGAGCCCGACCAGGATGTGGAAAAGACCGAAGACGATGACGTCCTGGCCAGAATCAGGGACTTTCCCGATTGTGAGAGCCCAGAAGACACCATGCGAGAGCTGATGCGCGAGGGCGTCGCCACCTCTCACCGCAGCACCGACAACGCACTCAAATACCTGCTCAGAATCATGGACGAGCGCGGCCCGTTTGATGCCATCATTGGCTATTCCGAAGGCGCCACTGTTGCTGCTACGCTTCTGCTTCACGAGCAGAGGCGCTTCAAGAAAAAGGGCATCAAGCCCATGTTCAAGTACGCCATCTTTTTCGCTGGCTGGCCCCCCGTCGACCCAGACACCCACCACATGATTCTTAGCGACGAGTCCGATGTCATGATCGAGATTCCCACATGTCATATTAGTGAGTAAAAGTGCTTACTCAAGTGCCATCCCTTGGATATCTGGCTGACAGCATCTACACTCTAGTCGGCTCCTTGGACCCTTATGTCCACGGATCTCTGGCCCTTTACAATGTCTGCGATCCCGATACTGCCTATCTTTTTGATCACGCCAAAGGCCACACATTACCGCGGGACAAGGAAACTGTGAAGGAGCTGGCCGATGTGGTACGGGATGCTACCTGCCTCTATGAAATTCACGCCTGAATTGCGTCGATGTCAAAGAACAGCAGTTCGCTCAGAAACTATAAACGGAAAACCAGCCACGAAGAACCAGTCTGTAACACAAAGACTCCCCAACTGAAGCATCAAGTGAACCAAGTGAACGGTTAACATGGATCACGCTGTCAAGAACCTGGCAACGGACTTGAGGCCTGGAAGAACAAGATATCATGTAGCAACATACTGTAATTGAGTGGCTTTCAATCGCGGCACAGTCTCCCAAGCTACCAGTGTTTCCTAGACACTCTAAATGCAGGCGACCGGATTGTGAGCAGCTTACGACAGCGCTGATACGCGTACTTTACATCTACACAGTCCAGAAGCATGCAGTTTACCGGAAATTGGGATCTGCTCGAGACTACGTGGCCACGGCTTTGGCTGCGCAAGAAATCAAACGGCTAGATCGATGTTGGCGGCTGCATGGGTTCAAAACCAATGACAGCGCCAAACAGTGACATCACATGGAAGAAAAGCGAGATAAGAATCTCAACAGCATCCGAGTGTGAACGGAAAATGGAACTCCCCTATAAAGATAGCGTTTCTGCGCCTGTATACAACCGGGCAGAAGGGCCCAGGGTCCCTACTACCCTGGCCACCATTCACCCCATCTACCGATAGGTGAACAAGAGCATGAAACCGCATTGCTTTCGGTCAATTGAGGCTAAATTGTCCCACGGAAAACGATAGCGGTACATCCTCGCTTGATATCGAGCAAGATGCTAAGAGACGGGATGGTGACACGGCAAGGCCGAGGTACCCGTCCTCGTGGATGTGACTGTTCCATCAAATTTTGGAACCAATCACTGCCCTACTACATGCTGTCGCGACATTACCACGGCTCATTGTAGCGTTGTCGGTCCATCATCCGAGACCAATACAACTCTCCGGGACATTCAGATGTGTTGCAAGATGAACGTCAAAGTATGTCATCTTCCTAGCCCGCTTCTTTTCGCCTATTTTGCGCAGAGTACCTGATAGATATTCTTTTCAGCCGCCAGTCACTGAGGACTCAGGACCTGGATCCGTTTCGACGCGATGTTGCCTTCTTCATTCAACAGATTTGCGGGAGCATCCAACACGTACCTTATTTAAGGCGACTTCCTTTTCTCTATTGCCCCCGAGAGGATAAGAACTTGACGACAATCATGATCATATTGTGTCATTTGGAGATAAGGTACACCATCCAAGCCTTGACTCCGTTTCTTGTTTGAGTACCAGGCATACGATATATTACCTTTATATTGTCATGCGAGATTCCAGATTAACGTCGTAGTAGGTTGTTGAAGCACAGACACCGGTGTTTTCTATCCCCACGTTATGTTCGATGTATGTTGTTCGCGGCGTTTGTCGGAGGTCTTTTGCGACCGATCCTTCCTAGCTTGACACTTCCCTTGAACACATTTCTTTGCACTGCACATTTCGTTGCGCGGTGGCTAGATTGTGGTCACAATTAGCGGTATATTTCATTTGAGAGAGGCTCTATCTTCTCTTGCTTTGCCCACATCCAGCCTTCTCCTTGTTTTGGTGGCTCTACGCGCATGTATTGAATGGGGAGATACCCGCATTATCAGCCCGTTCTTATTTTGTTAGTCACTTTCACGAGAGCACCTACACAGACTGCATAAACTTCAAGCAGATCCCTGTGACCAAGAAGTTGGGAATATGGGCGAGAAGTTTGCGTCAGGCGGCGAGCATCCCATCCCCGAGTCGCCCGCTCCGCCACCGGATCCGCCATCTTCAGCGAGCAAAGCGGGAAAGAATCCCCTTCTGCTGAAACCCGAATACAAAACAGCCGTGAGAGATTTTATTGTGAGTATTCGATACGCAGCTGCTTGAAGACCCATTTTCTCATACTTCAGGCAGCGCATCTTCTCCTTCTCGACATGGCTCGACAAAGCACTCATCAGCGCAGCTGCTGTGACCTCTATAGGTGCTGGCATCACTATGCCCGTCATGAACATGATATTTGGTATGTGCTACTCAATTCCCATCCCCGCGTCCAAAGGAAATCGCGATACCTGTAATCTAACTCACAGACAGGAAAAATGGTGGGATCATTCACGGGCTGTTATGGTGCCGATGCTTCGACAACATATGAGCTGTTTAAGAAGGCCATTAGTACCTGCGCGTAAGTCTTGTACCAAATCCATGGCAGCAGCCAGTCAACATGATGCCCACTAAACTCTCCACAGTCTATATCTTGTTGGCCTGTTCTTCATTAGGCTTGTACTTGATTATGTTGCCTACGTAAGTGCCTGGCCATTTGTTCTCCGTCCTCTCGCGCAGCACACGCATTGCTTACAGATTATGTCGGCTGCTTAGGTAGGTTTTCGCATGTCGAGCTTGAGAATCTCAGCTGCTATCCGACTGAAATACTTGAAGTGTTTGTTTGGACAGCCAGTCTCCACTCTAGACATCCTCCCTCCGGGCCAAACAGCCGCTATCATCACTATCACAGCTAGTGTACTTCAAGCGGGCATCTCCGAGAAACTTTCGGCCTTTCTCCAATCCATATCCACCGTGGTGGCTGCATTTGTGATTGCCATCACATACAGTTGGAGCTTGACCTTAGTTACAAGCAGTGGTCTTGTGCTGATCATAGTGGTCTATGCTGCAACTACCCCCTTTCTCGTCAAGCGCTTGAATGACGTACAGTATGCCGATATCCAGGCATCCACAGTCGCGAACGAGATATTAAGTTCCATGAGAATGATTGCAGCCTATGGTGCTCAGGGGAAGATGGCTAAAAGATATTTCAAGTGGGTGGACGAATCTCGCCGTCGGGGTTTGAAGATGTCTCCCATCATCGCACTGCAGCAAGCGCCAGGTAAGCGTTTTCTTCTTTTTCCTACCGGCAATTCACACACGTACCGTCGAGCGGCCGTTCTCGAAATATCTAACGTCTCCCCAACAGTGCAGTTTTCAATATACGCGTGAGTTACATGCCGCCCTTGTTAGTATGGTAGGAAGGGACAATGCTCACATTGACTAGGACCTTCGCCCTATCATTCTGGTACTCACTCAAAATGTACTACGAGCTCCGCTTTAACAGCGCAGAGACCTTGATTGTGTGCGTACCTGCAATATTTCCCATTCACTGCCAAATCCTGTGCTGGTTAACTAATATATCTTGTTCCTAGTGTCCTAATGTCTATCATGCTCATGACCACCTCTATAGGTGGAATTACCTCGCCCCTATCCGCAGCTGCTCGAGCAGCTGGCGCGGCTACCGTCTTCTATACCATCATTGACGCACCAAGACCAGACAAAACAGGTCTTACGGAACCAGACGTGCTTGCATCCAAAGATCTTGTACTGCAAAACGTCAATTTCGCATATCCTACCAGACCAGACCTTGTGATACTGAATAATCTCAGTCTCCGATTCCCTGCAGGGAAAACCACTGCAATTGTGGGGCCATCCGGGTCAGGCAAAAGCACTATCGTTGGCGTTTTGCTAAGATGGTATGAAATCGAGTCTCTCGATAGCAATGATATGGTAGGTTACAGCAGACTCGCATTGCCCAAGACACTGAAAATAAAATCGGAAATACTCTGCTAACAAGCGAGCGAGAGAAAAAGAGCCTGTTGTGGCGTAATGGCCTAGTCGAAGTTGGGGGTCGGCCCCTGAGAGAGATCGACCTTAAGTGGTGGCGGACTCAGATTGGCCTCGTGCAGCAAGAACCGTTTCTGTTCAACAGCAGCATTTATCAAAATGTTGAGTTTGGTCTTATAGGCACTGAATGGGAAAATGCCGATCTGGAGACCAAGAAAGAGCTTGTAAAACAGGCTTGCAAGGAGTCCTTCGCCGACGAGTTTATCAGCCGGTTACCGGAGGTGTGTAACGTTCCGAGCTTGGAGTCGTCTGGAGAAAATCAATCCTGGTGTGTTTGTTGGCTGCTGACAGATGGATCCAGGGTTACTCGACCGTTGTCGGCGATGCGGGCATCAAGCTGAGTGGCGGCCAACGTCAACGAATAGCCATCGCCCGCAGCATTGTAAAGCGGCCGAAAATTCTTATTCTGGACGAGGCAACTTCTTCGATTGATGTTCGCGGGGAAAAGGTGGTACAGGCAGCCTTGGAAAAAGTGTCGAAAGACCGCACGACTATAGTGATTGCACACCGGCTCGGTACCATTAAGAAGGCTGACAACATCATAGTTCTGCGCAAAGGTCAGGCTGTTCAGCAAGGCACGCACTCTGATCTTATGGCTGACGAGGGGGGCGCCTACTGGACACTTGCTACCGCTCAAAAGCTTGTGATGGATTCAACCGACCTTGATGAGCTACCGAGTGACCTTAGTGACAAGCTGGAGGTTACGGAATATGACACACCCACGGCTGACTCAGCGAGTACAATGATGAGAACAAGCGCCAGTGTTGGTGAGAAGCCCCGAACGACAGGCGGCATGAGAAACTACATGCTCCTGCTTTCCGAGCAGAAAAAGCACTGGAAGTGGTATATCGTATTGATTCTGAGTGCAATCGGTGGTGGAGGTATGTATCCGTATTTGGCTGGCTCAACATTCCTGACCATCCCCAGCCGTAAGGGAAATATGAGAGAGTAGCTGACAATCTTGTTCGTGCATCACAGCCAGCCAGCCGATATCTGCCTACCTCTTTGCAACAGAGATCACACTGTTCCAATCTTGGGGTCCATGGCTCCCAGGCCTCGCCGGCTTCTGGAGTCTGATGTTCGTTATGCTTGCCATCCTGGTTGCGATATCTTACTTTGCGTTAGGGTGGTCGTCTTCGACAATTGCATTTGTACGCCCCTTGACCTACTTCCTTGCGTGATTTTAAATGACGACGGAATAAGTGCTAACGAGAAGAACAAGCACATCATATACCGATACCGTTGCGAATACTTCGAAAACATTGTATCCCAGTCTATCGGCTTTTTCGACGCTGACGATCACTCGGTTGGTGCACTCACAGCTCGTCTGGCGACCGATCCTAGCCAACTTCAGGAACTACTGGGCACCAACATGGCTTTCGTGCTCATTTCCATTCTTAACGTCGTTGGCTGCCTGATTATATCGTTCTACTTTGGATGGAAGCTAACTATAGTCACCCTAAGTTCCTCAATGCCGCTCATCGTAGCAGCTCTTTTTTTCGCATTCGATACGAAGCGCGGTTTGAGAAGATGAACAATGAGGTCTTCGCAGAGAGTGCCAAGTTCGCAACCGAGTCCATCACTGCTTTTAGGACGGTTTCGGCTTTGACTCTAGAAGACACCATTTTAAAGCGATATGAAACGCTCCTTTGCGAACATGTCAAGAACTCGTTTGGAAAGTCCAGTTGGGTTACCTTGCTATTTGCCGTGGCCGACAGCATCGCTCTTTTGTGCATGGCTTTCGTCCTCTGGTAAGTCTGCCTGATAATTAGCAGTGCCGATTGCCGACGAAATTTCTATGAACATCAGAACTGATTTTACCTGATGCCTTGCAGGTATGGCGGATCTCTAATGCTCAAAGGCGAATACTTGCCGTTCCAGTATATGATCGTTTACATTGCTGTCCTTCAGGTATGTCAAGAATCCATCCATCCCGCTGGTCCGACGGAAGCTCTTAGTTTGGCAGGCGTTTTGACATTGACTGTGGCACAGGGTGGATTGGGAGCAGGCCAATGGTTGAGCTATGGACCTAGTAAGTTAGCAGTGTAGTCTGAAAATTTGACGTGTACTATACTAAGCGTACTGCAGATGTTGCAAAAGCGAGTGTAGCGGCAGATAGAATCCTTGAGATGAGGGCCAATGGCCAGGAAACAGGAACACCCCCACCACTCGACCGAGGTAGCATGGAGGACGGTGACAGTGGTGTCAAAGTCGAGTTCCGCAATGTACGGTTCAAATATCCAACAAGGGATGTGCCAGTGCTTAACGGCCTTGACCTGACGGTTCGTCTTTGTGTCTACAGTGAAAGTTAGGAGTGTTATGACTGACACTAGCTGCAATAGATTGAGAAGAACCAGTTTGCCGCCATAGTCGGGCCTTCTGGTAAGTGGAAAGATGAGAACGGGTTATTCTATGCCGGTAACTGACATCAAAATTGCAGGTTGTGGGAAGACAACCGTGGTCTCGGCTCTTGAAAGGTTAGTGCTAGTAATGAGTACTACTAGGGCACGGTATCCAGACAACTGACAAGCGTGTAGGTTTTATTCCGCGGACTCCGGTCAGATCCTCTACAACGGGACAGACATATCAGCCGTCTCTCTTGAAGATTACCGCAGAGATATATCTCTCGTCTCACAAGAACCCAATCTTTTTGATGGGACGATCAGAGAAAATATCCTTCTGGGAGTAAACACCGATACTACCACGGAAGAGCAGGTCCAGCAGGCCTGTCGTGACGCCGAGATCCACGAGTTCATCATGTCTCTCCCAGACGGATACAACACCGAGATTGGATCAAGGGGTGTGACATTGTCCGGTGGGCAGAAACAACGCTTTGCAATTGCAAGAGCGTTAATACGGAATCCTCGTCTGCTTCTCTTGGACGAAGCCACGTCAAATCTGGATGGGGATACCGAAAGGGCAGTACAGGCCGTCTTCGAAAGGACCAGGAAGAACAGAACGATTATCATGGTGGCTCACCGTCTTGCCACTATCCAGAACGCTGATATCATTTTTGTTCTTGGAGACGGCCGTGTGTTGGAAAAGGGAAACCATGCGACACTGTTGAAGATGCGTGGGATCTATTACCAGATGGTAAGTCGTTCCCCACCCCCAGTGGTGATAACTACGCGACTCTTGTGAGGGTATGTAATAATAATACTGTATAGTGTCACGCTCAAGCGCTGGATAGGTAGTCAGCCGAGGGGATGTGTGTGTGGACATAGTGAAGTGTATTGGGGAAGTGTGCTTACTGTTGGGAGAAAAGGGGCGATGGAGTATAATACTGATACAATAGTGCAAGAAAACCAGGTATTTCACCGATTGGCTTTCATGGGCCTCATGGGCCGCTGTCTTCTTCGCGGACGAGAGTATGATACCGCATACTATACTCTGTTCCAACCGGAACAGGGTTTAATCGATGAATAGCGGGTTTTTCCTGAGGCGTTATAACGTTTGTGGCGCATCGATATGACGAACACATCCATCCTGAAACAGTAATTATCCCGCCGAGGGTGTTCGGCCGGTCAAACCTTCGGAGGAAGGCCAATCGGTCGTTACTAAGTGCCGCTCAGTGTGTGTCCTGTATCTTTCGGGGAACAGGTGGGCTTACTGGCATAGATTAATCGCGGAAGCGCGCAAACCGCCGATAGGCAACGGGGAACAGTTTTCTGAAACTAGGACATTATTTTAGAAAGGAAGAAAGTTTTAGGTGCTGCCAGCTGGCGACGTGTGTAGAGGAAGTGCCAGAATGCAACTTTAGGTAAAATAACATTGCGAGCGGACGTTGAAGCCACATGGAATGGGGGCTTAATAAGGTTGATTCGATATTGGTAAATGGCGCGTTGCAGTGAGGAGAGGAACGCGTAACTTGAGATGTAAGGTACCTACCTTCCTACTAATCACAACATATATGATGTGGCAAATACTTGAAGACTAAGCCCCGTCTGCCTAGGTAGATTCAGTCGGTTCGAGACCCCTAAAGAGGTCCTCATCTATGTGGTAGTTAACGATAGCCTCATATGTACAGCTCTACTTAGGCAAACCGAATCGACTACCTTACTGATGCCGTGCGTGGAAGGGGTAGCATTGTATGCGGCTGACTACGAGCCAGCTGTATGTGTCTTATGCAGAGCTGCCATGGGAAAGGGTGGGCAGGGGCAACTTCCATTCAAATACGCTGGGTATCCCCGTGCCCTGCACGACATCAAGGACGACCATGACTACAGTGGTTGGCTGCTCTTGCCGAAAGTACTAGAGCCCCTTGTTGGCGAATGCTTTTGTGAGTTGGGGGCATTTCTTTGTTTGGTGTAACGGCCCGCCCAAATGGTTCCTGCATCATGTTTGCGTCGCCTTTCTTTGTGACTACCATTAAGCAAAAATATACGATGTTCCAAGGGGGCGGTTGAAATGAAAGGTGGAAGGCGCATACAGTTGTCGGTACAGGAGCTAGATACCATTACTAACATCATGGTTTGTTGCACAACATTTCCCGGGGATCATTATCCCTTTCATCCAGATCAACCATGCTTTGTACTACTCTCCCCAGAGGGCCGACGGACCAGCGATCGTTTGAATGGAGCGCTTTGGACAACTGGCAGACAAGAATGCTCAGGGACGCGCGGTCTTCTTCAATCGAAGGTGAGTTCCTTACTCGATTGTCATTAATCCAAAAAGCCAGCCATAATTTCTGGAGAAGGACAAGACTGACAGCGCTGATGTACAGGTAGCGGGTCAACTTTTCCAAATTCACATATTCTCGGAGTTGTGTTCATCATGCCGAGAAAGCTCCTTTGAACGCGGTTCTTTACGAGTTATGTTGCTCTTCGACAGAGCCAGTTGCGGAGGCGGCACCTTTCCCACTGAAACGGCACCCTAAAATGTCACTTTACAGACACATATCCGACGGTTGGAGATGAATTGTTACAAGAATCTGGAACTTCCGGCGTATGTGCCGATTGTTTAGAAGCGGCAGCTCCTGACATATAGGGGGCCCTACCGAAGTTGGATGACACATGAGCGTGAGGCACGGCTGCAACACATCATGACCCTATGTGATATTCAGTCTGAAAAAGACACCGAATCTCCCACCTTTATGTTCTAGGCATCCAAGCCTCCACGGTCAATATTACACTGCACCTCGGTTGATAGATGACCTCAAGTTGCAGCCACTTGCCGCACATCCTTCGTGGGCACATCTCGCAAGTCCGTACAGGGAAAGAAAGGACTCAGAACATCAGTAAGCAATCACTCAGAGGTTATGATGGACAGAACGCCAGTCAGTCAGCTGGACAACCGGAATGCCATCAAGTTCCCAACGAGCTTCAACTCGAAACACGGCACGGAAGCTTGAGGCAAACTTCAATATAAAAACACCATTGTCAAGGCCTCCCAAAAATCCTTTGTCCAGCATTCCATTCATCGTCGTACAAGCTTCATCTTCAGCTAGAGCATTACCAACCCTCGTCTCCAGTATATATTGCCTTCATCCGCCCCGTTCTCAGCCCGCTGCAAGAGATCCTGCTCTTAGTCCTTTGTCGGAAGGAATCTTGTGTTTACCGGTTTGTGAGCAGGCATCATTGTCTGAATAGGCCCCAAACGCAGAGCCATGGCGGTCAAAAGCTTCTCCCGTTTCCTTTTCGGCATTGTTGCCGTCTGCCTTTGGGCAGGCCACATGCTCGAAGCACAGGCTGCTCCCGAACCCATCACGGATTCCCTCATTCGGAGGCAATCAGCCGATGACAAGCTGGTGTTTGCGTATTTCATGGTAAGGGTCACCAGCTGGGATTCGCCTACGAGTCGGCGGCTCGCAATGGAATGAAGGTTTTCATCTCCTTTGACTTCAACTGGTGGCATGCGAACACTCAGGCTGCCGACGTAGGACACAAGATTGCTCAGTACGCCTGCCTTCCCGCGCAGCTGAAAATCAACGGAAGAGTCTTTGCCTCAAGCTTTATTGGGAATGGCCTTGATGTGGCCCAAATGAGGGCGGCGGCAGGAGTCGACGTCTTCTGGGCGCCCAACTTTAACCCTTCCCAAACCCCGAATAATGGGACCCTCGACTCGGCCTTTAACTGGATGGCCTGGCCAAACAACGGGGCCAACAAAGCCCCCCCAACCCGGACATAGTTTCTCTGTGGCTGACGGGGACAATGCCTACAAAACGTGGTTGGGTTCCAAGCCATACATGGCCCCAGTCTCCCCGTGGTTCTCTACCCACTTTGGCCCCGAGGTTAGCTACAGCAAGAACTGGGTATTCCCAGGAGATCTTCTCTGGTATAACAGGTGGAATGAGATTCTGACGCTGGCTCCTCGCTACGTCGAGATCATAACCTGGAATGACTGGGGAGTCCCACTACATTGGCCCGCTTGACTCGAAGCACACCGACGATGGAAATTCCAAATGGGTCAACGACATGCCGCACGAAGGCTGGATGGACCTGGCAAAGCCGTTCATTGCGGCTTACAAGGCAGGTGCCAGCAAGCCAGATGCCTACATTAGCGAAGATCAAATCATTTACTGGTACCGGCCAACCCTCAAGTCCTTGAACTGCGATGCGACCGATACCACTCTGCAGGATGCCAACAACAGCAGTGGGAACTACTTCAAGGGAAGACCGAATGGCTACGAGACCATGGAGGATGCCGTGTTTGTCGTGTCCCTCCTGAAGACTGCCGGGCAGATCAAAGTGACATCTGGCGGTAATTCCGCAGTCACCTACCAAGCACCCGCGGGTGCTTTTGCACAGAAAATTCCGATGGGCGTTGGGAAGCAAAGATTCGAGCTTACCCGCAATGGACAGTCTGTGCTGAGCGGTATCTCCTCGAGGGATATCAGCAGCACATGCCCCTGCGGCATCTACAACTTCAACGCATTCGTCGGTGTCCTTCCATTTAAGACATTTGGGTCGCTCGATTCACAGGGCCTGGCTTCTCTGACCGCTGGACTTCATGTGAGCACTTGTCAGCCGACTCCCACCTTGATCGCTACTGCACCCCCATCAGATGACCCCCAGCCCATGAACAATCCACTATCTTCGAGCACTCCGCCTTCTCCCACCACGATCCTGACTAAAACTGCCACCACGGCTCCTCCTGTCTCTACCCCAACCAACTGCAACGGCGGCACAGTTGCTAATGGAGAGTCGTCGAATCTCGCCGCTCTTTGCGATTTTTCGTGCTCTCAGAGCTACTGCCCACCTGGTCCCTGCAAATGTACTTCCTTCGGTACTCCGGGATGGAGTGTGACACCGACGAAGCCCCCAGGCTGCCCGGCTCCAGGTTTGATGACACTTACAAGGGACTTTGTGCCTTCACTTGCGCCAGAGACTATTGCCCTTCAGGTGCCTGCTCGTCAAACTGCGGCTAGTGAGAACTAGTGGACTGTTGTCACTCATCCGAAGTGGCAGATATCTATAATCTTTGTCTTTGTTTTTTGTCTGTCAATGATCATGACTGTCTTCCTTACGTCGTTTATTCCTAACGCTCACTTGGGAGAGTAGGTGGATATATAAGTAGAGAGGGCGTCTGTATTCTATTTCTTAGCTCTTGTCGTCGTTAACCATTCGTTCACACCTACTTGTTCGGGTTTCCTTCTTTGTCACCACCAATGATAAGTTCTCGCTGTACTCCCAACAGTAAAAAGTTGAATAAACGATAGAATTATCAATGCTTCCCGAGACATTTGTGTTGTATGGGTGGTTACTTTCCCATGAGAACTGGATACCTCTCCGCTAGCACCTGGCAGCAAGAAGTCAAGTGAACGCCCCCGCACTAGGGTGTCGCTTACATGTTTGGTGCACACGTAACGTAGCTCTAGCTAGCCAAGGTGCTAACCCAAGTAAGGATTATCATTCAACGTCGCCGGATCATCCACCTCCGCTTCTGTAGGTAGTGTGTTAAAGCAAGGACAAGAACACAAACCTGTTCCCGGTCTGTACGGAGTTTCTAACATAAATCAACACTCAAGTTGGATACCTAATCTGTTCCGGTATTTTGAGGAGACGTCACCATCGGTAAACATATTATCCTTTCACAACACCATGGCAAACCAAGCCCACACATGGAAACCCATATGCTTGACTCAGACTGGCAGCTGAGGCAATATGACGAGAATGACCAAGACGAACATCCATGGCTTCCTGTCGAAAAGGTTCCAAGCGAAGTCCATGAGAAACTCATGCGACACGGCAAAATTCCGGACCATTCTGTTGACCTGAATGAGTTCTCTGTGTGCTGGGTGGGTGAACAGACCTGGCAATACCGCACCTCTTTTGCGACCCCTTGACATACGGCGTTTCGCAAAACCGTGGATCTTGTTTTGCGGGACTTGATAACTTCGCTACGGTCAAGCTCAACGGACAGATTATACTGTAGTCTGGTAACATGTTCATCGAGTACCGGGTTCCCGTTCACTATTTGCTCGAGAAGGGAACGCCAGCGCAAGATGGCGTGAACACACTGGACATTATCTTCGAACCGGCTCGAAAACGCGGACTGGAGATCGTGAAAGATCACCCAGAGCATGACTTCATTGTGCACCAGACCGAAGTCAGCAGATGACCTGTTCGCAAACCCCAATGCCACTGGGGCTGGGATTGGGGCCCTATCCTACTGACCTGCGGACCTTGGAAACCAATTTGGCTCGAGTGCTACGAAGCCAAGATTGAGAATCTGAAGATAGAGTATGAGCTGGTTTGGGAAAGCGGGGAGAGGGCAACGGCAAGCCATGTCTTGGTTTCGGCAGACATACTGGAGCTAGCCAATGTACCAAGGTTGAGATCCTGTTCCACGGGAGAACTGTTGCCCAATGCACCGAGTTCACACCCAGCGGCAGCGAAAACCCCGCCTCAACGACTACGTATACCTCCGAAGCTCTCAAGGTCTATGACCCTCAGCTCTGGTGGCCCAGGTGCTACGGACTGCAGAATCTCTATGAAGTGCGATTGCAATTCGTCACCATCAACGGCACCGTGGAAGAGAAGCGAAAAACCATCGGGTTCCGAAAAGCAGAACTTATCCAGGAGAAGGATGAAGACGGCCAATCCTTTTACTTTCGCATCAACAACACCGAACATCTTCATCGGGGGTTCCTGCTGGATTCCCGCTGACAGCATCCTGACAAGGCTTACCCCCGAGCGGTACCGGGAATGGATGTCCTTGCTGGCTGAAGGAAACCAAGTCATGATCCGGATCTGGGGTGGAGGGATATACGAGTCGGATGCCTTTTACGAGGCCTGCGATGAGCTGGACATCCTGGTGTGGCAGGACTTCATGTTTGCATGTGCCTCATATCCAACCTACCCGGAGTTTCTGTCCTCGGTCGAGACAGAAGCCCCTCAGGTCATTCGCCGGCTGCGGAACCACCCATCGCTCATCATCTGGTGCGGCAATAACAAGGGCTGCCAGCTCATTGAGCGATACAAGCTCGAGTATCGCTTCCATGAGGACAAGGACCCAAACTCATGGCTGAAATCCAATTTTTCCTGCTCGATATATCTACGAGCACCTCTTGCCCAACCTTGTGCATGAGGAGTCGCAGAAGAATACCATGATATACCACCCTGGCAGCCCCTGGGGTAGCGGGACAAGTACGATACTGAAGGTGGAGGACCCAACTGTTGGTTATATTCACCAGTGGAATGTGTGGCATGGCGATATGCAGCCCTACCAATGTCTCCCAGCCATGGATGGCCGCTCCGTGAGCGAGTTTGGGATGGAGGCATATCCACACTTTGACACCATCAACCGATTTATCACCAACCCAAAAGAGCGCTATCCCGGAAGCAGGACTCTTGACTTCCACAACAAGGCCCATCGGGCACGAACGTCGACTGCTGACTTATGTTGGGGAGAACTTTCGGCTTGCCCATCAAGCGTCAAGCAATCCTCTCCAGACCTTTGCTAACCTAACACAGGTTATGCAGGCCGACGCAATGTCGTGGGCCTACAAGTCATGGCGTCAAGATTGGGGATCTGCCGGGAAGAGGAAGTGCGGAGGTGTGCTAGTCTGGCAGCTGAACGATTGCTGGCCAACCGTATCCTGGGCGATTGTTGACTACTATTTGGTGAAGAAGCCGGCGTACTATGCCATTAAAAGAGCTTTGCAACCACTAGCTGTGGGTGTGACGAGGGAGTTCCATGACTGGACTAAGCGGCCGGCTGATGAGCTTTGGAGGAGAGATACGGGCCATGTTGATCCAAGTAAGGCACACCGGGACGTGAAGTTCGACGTTTGGGTGTCAAGCTCTGAGACACGGACAGTCAAGGCCAAGATTGCGGTGAGGCTCATTTCGATCGCCAGCGGGAAAGACGTTGGGGACCGGCTAGAAAGAGAGATAGAACTGAGGCCGAATGGATCTACCGAGGTCATAGCAGGCTACCGGGTTGAAGGTTCCACAAATGGTGAACACCCCGAACCGTTCGTCATTCACGCTGTCTTGATCGTGGATGACAAGCACGTCTCCTACGACATCTCTTGGCCTGAGCCAATCAAGTACCTTGACTTCACTGATCGTGATGTTGAGGTCAGGGATATCGGCAATTCTATGGTAGAGATCTCAGCACAGAAGCCAGTCAAGGGCTTTGTGTTCGCGGAGAAACAGGGTATGAAGCTCAGTGACAACGGGTTCAATTTGGTCCCCGGGGAAGAGCCTAGACGAGTGCATGTCGAATTCAGTGACGGGAGCCTGAAAGTGGACAACTTGGATTGGACATTTGTTGGCCGATTGTATGCTTAGTAGGGGAATAGCTTACAGGCGTCATATCTTGTCCTATACCAAAGAATTACGAACACCGTTGCTTCTGTACGTCACTACTGAATGTGACCATGGCTCTGAAGGCTATCTTGATAATGCTTTTATATCCCTTCCTCATGCCGAGATGAGTGGTTTGGGTTGAGATTCAGACTAAGAGTGCCCGTTGATCTTCTTGGGCTCATATAGCTCCTCCAAATACTTCTCTTCCTCCTCCGTCAAAACCTTGCCTCTAGAGGAAATCGCTTCTTCCAGACGTTCAACGCTGCTAAAACCAATGATTGGACTGGTGACGCGCTTAGCAATCCAAGCCAAGGCTACGTGAGAGATCTAGAAGTACAGTTAGTAACCTCTTCAGAAAGGGGATATCGATGGGGTTTCCCATCCATGAAACATACCGGCCACTCATGCGTATCCGCAATCTCAACCACGCGGTTGATAATTGTGAGGTCGGGCTCAACAGTGCCATGCGTTCCCGACTGCGTCTCCTTCTCCCCTTGACTCCTCTTGGTGCTGCCAAACTGGTCGGGTCTGCGAGCCAAGTGGCCACGACACAAAGGAGCCCACGGGATCAAGCCCACACCAGTGTCGTTGCAGAAGCGGATCATCTCACGCTCCTCCTCGCGGTAGAGCAAGTTGTAGTGATTCTGCATGCTGATAAACTTGGTCCAGCCATTCTTTTCGGCGTAGAACTGCATCTGGGCAAACTGCGTAGCCCACATGCTGCTTGCACCAATGTAACGCACCCTGCCGGACTGCACCAGGTCGTGCAGGGCCTTCATGGTCTCTTCGATAGGAGTGTTCGGATCGAAGCGGTGGATCTGTAGCAGGTCGATGTAGGGCGTATCTAGGCGCCGCAGAGAAGCCTCGACAGCGTTGAAGATGGCGGTCCGCGACAGGCCGTGCTGGTTCACATAGTCCTTGGAGGCGTCAAGCTGGGAAGGGAAGAAGATGCCACGAAGATCGGGAGTCTCTCCGACAGCGCCCCAACACTTGGTCAGGATCACCACTTTCGCGCGCGGAATGTCGTATTTCTTGAGGGCCTTTCCGACAATGACCTCGGATGCGCCATTAGAATAAACATTGGCCGTATCCCATGTGTTCAGACCACGGTCATAGGCGGTCTTGAGAAGAGGGAGCGCCTCATCCTCCTCGATGGCCCAGTCCAGTGTCCGTTGATCGCCGAAGCTCATACAGCCAAAAATAGGCACCGAAACGCGGAGACCGCTCTTGCCCAGCCGGCGGTATTCACATTTGGAGTTCTCGACAGACTCCCTAAGGCTGGCTGGCAGTTCGGGCATCTTGTGAGTTGCGAGTTGTGACTTGTGTTGGAGGTTGGTAGACGTTGAGGAACGCTCGGAGAGGATAGACGGAAGAGAAGAGAAGGAGTGTTAATGGATGGTGATCAGACGAAAATTAAGCTGGGGATCAGGGTGACTTTATGTCACGAAGGCATTATTGACGACGGATGGGTATAGGTACCACCATACACTACTATGGGTAACTTTGGACTTACACGAGCCCCAAGCAGTCAAGACCTCCGGAAAGTAGACAGGAAGGCAGGTTACATCGACCGTGGGGGACAGCGTCACTGTACTTTGTGTTGGAAGCAGCACCTACCCCGCACCGAGGCGAGAATGGAGTTGTGATGCCGGTTTGTCGGTACGAATTTTCTCCCAAGTTCCATGTTAAACTCCATGATCGTCTCAGAGTGTGACGGCTGGAGGTATTACGGCGGTGTTGTCAAAGGCCAGAGGTCGGAGTTAGTGCGGCCGCGTTCCTAAAGTCCGGATGAGCGTGATGAGTCCCAGACTAGGCAGCTGATTACATAACGACATCTTCCATTTCGAGAGTAGGGAAGGAGAGGCTCCAGACAGCCAAAAAGGAAAGAAATGAAATCGAATCAAGGAGAGATCATGAGAGCGCAGAGCAAAAAAAGACAAAACGAATGAGCAATCATAAGTTGAGCCCGACGTGGGAATCGAACCCACAGCCTCAAGATTAGAAGTCTTGCGCGCTACCGATTGCGCCAGCCGGGCAGGCAATTTTAAACTTTTTTGTTCGTTTCTATTCTTACATACGACGAGCCTATCAGGTTCCCAAATCCTCACCGCCTTTGGAAGGTGTGGAAGGGAACCTCGACAAGCTTTCCCCATGCCAAGCCCCTTTCTGCCGGTCCAAAGGGCCCAAGCTCCCTTGGACCCTTGGAGCTTCCGTATCTTGAGTGCTTGCGTCCCTCCTTTCGAATTGACATCATCGTCTCCCCACCAAACCTTGGGAGCCCGTCGACCAGCTTCGACATTGCGAATCCGTTTAACCACTATTCCACGACCTACCAAAGCTACAAACATCGCAAAGCAAGACACTGAACCAACAATCATCCCCGATCGATCGCGACGGCAACATTATGTCCCGAGACAACAGCGGCGACTGGGCGTCGCAGGCCCAGGTTGAGCCCCATCAGCTCGAGGGCGGCCAGCTTCCCTACTGGGATAAACACTGGTGGGAACAGTATCGCCAAGCTAGGACTCTTAGAGAAAGAAATGAAATCGTCACCAGGCTCGTTGACCAGATGCCCATCAAGTGGGGCACGCTGCCGCAGCTGCCTTTCTGGGCCCCTTTGTTCAACGTCACCCAGGGCCAGTACAAGGTGGACGTGGGCGGGAGGCTCATGGCCACATCCCTTGTCCTTGGCCACCAGCAGCTGGACCAGGAGGACCTTGACCTTGTCGCCTATGGCGCCGCCAAGCGCTCTGTCACCAATGCGTACGCCCGGCCCGCCATAGCCCTCGGCGCAGGTGTCTGCTGGGCTGTTGGATTCAACAAGTACAACTTCCCCTTCTGGAAGCCAAAACCGGCGTCCTTCAACCCCGAAATCTTCCCGAGCAAGAGATTCACCCTTGCCGCCGGACCCCGGGCTATTCTGGCATGGCAAGGCGCCCGTGTTGCCGCCTGGTATGTCGCCTGGAGAATTTTTGGAGGCTGGGTCGCGGATGCGTATGCCGAGACCGTCTTCTCAGCTACGGTGATGCGGAACAAGGCATTCAAGCAGAAGATCATTGAGGCGGGACAAGCGATGAAGACGAAGGGCATTTCTCCCGAGAGGCCCGAGCTGGGGGACGGTTATTCAAGTGAGCACACGCCAAACTATGACCACCAGGAGGATCAACAACAACTGCCATCACAAGCGCAAACACCATATCTCCAACGGATCCAGCAGCACCAACAGAAGCAGAAACAATACCAACAGCAACAGCAACAGCAACAGCAGCAGCAGCAGCAGCAGCAGCAGCAGGCACAACAATCCACTTATAACGACGACGACGACTTCCTCTACGATGATGCTTCCCCCGTAGCGCCAGCCGCCAGAGCCAGTTCGCCCGTCGTCCAGACCTCCGGCTCCGCATGGGACAGACTCCGACAGCAAGCAAAGGCGGGCCCTGCGCAGGCACCTGGAAGCACGACCGCCACAACACCTGCCACCTACGTCAAGCCTTCCCAGTCCGCTTCGTGGGCGGAGCGCCGTGCGGCTGCCGCAGGCGGCGGCAGCGGCAGCGAGGGACTGTCGTATTTCTATTCGGAGACTGACCGGGAGAGGGCTCTGGCTAAGGAGCAGGCGCAAAAGGAGTTTGATGCCATGTTGGAGAGGGAGAGGCGTGGCGATGGCAGCAGCCGTGGACGTGGGTTCTAAGTGAATGAGCGAGTGAGTGAGTGATATGGTGAATATACGTAAGAGCGGCTATATGTGTACATATTTAATTTCCTGTGTTGTATATGTAGGTGGTCATCGCCTTCGCACATGCTTTATCAGCCTTGCTTCTCGAACCGAGCCGGGGGAGTTTTGGCATTTTGATGGCTTTTGCATTTGCTGGAGTTTGGCGGCTTAATATATCTCGTCTTGTTCAAGACTGAACACTAAATCCATACTACTTCAACGCTTTTCTTTGCGTGCGACCGATGTCTGAATCTGTCAAGAGACCCTTTTTTCTTCAAGGCTCCGACTCCACATCCGGCGGAAACGTCCCAAACAGCGCCATAAGATGTTCAATCTCCTCCTTTCCAAGCATCTTGCCCTCCTCTCCAGCCTTGTCAAGCATTCGGAAGTCTGCCAATTAAACAAAAGTCTGTTAGCAGCCACAAACACCTATAGAGATATCCCCCAGCTGACCAAGAGCAAAGGCAAGGGGCTGGCTGAGCCTGAAGGAAAAAAGGAAAGACATACAATCAACGTAGTGACCCGGCGTGGCACTCATGTAAATCTCGCAGGCTTCCGTCTCAGACGCATTCTTGAACGTGTGAACCGCTCCCGGCGGGACCGTCATGACGTCTCCGGCTGAGGCGTCCACTTCGGCTTCGGGCGTTATGAAGCAGCAAGTTCCTTATCTCACGTCATACCTAGTCAGTTTTCAGTAACTGATAATCGTTTTATCACCCTTATAGTCTTCCTTCTCTTCCTAGGTATTCCCGTCCCATTTCAACTCATCCCATCTCATTGATGCCAACCTCATGTCAACAGTTCCCCCATCGCCGACCGACTTCTCGCTCGATCTAACAAGAGAAAGAAAGAGATTGAATCACTGAACTAACCCTTGACAACAAAAAACAACTCGTCATGGAACCGATGCCAATGCATGGGCGGGCCCGAAATCCCCGGTGGGATCTCGAGCAGGATGGCGCTGATGCGATCGCCGGTGCGGGATCCGTCCTCGTAGACGCGGATGGTCATGGGCCCGACCCTGAGCACCTCAGCGGCCTGGCGGGTGGCTAGGTTGACGGAGACGGGGCCGCGGACTGGCATTTTTTTCTGATTTATTGTGCTTATCAATTTGGGGTGGTGGGAGTTTTGGATGAATGTCACTGTGTTCGAGGTGAGGTACTGTCAATGGAAGGGGAGAAGTTGGAAAGAGCGGGTGTATATGGTTTAAGTTTGTAAGCGCGGGTATGCGACGTAGCTTCCTGCATTTGTCCCGCCTCTACATACGCTTTGTCATACGCACATGAGGCACACCATCTTCCTAAATTGACTACTATCGATACTATTGCACCTTGAGGCCACCAGCCTTCACCATAAATAATTCAAAGAACTCCTTTCCTTAACGCCCCGCTGCAGCAGGCCCACTGCCCACCAGTTTCTAAACGTTTTTCATAACCTACGTCTTTTCGTCATATCCTCATTCCATTGTTCGCCATAATCCGTCGTCGCTATGATGATCCTTTTCGGCTTGCCATCGGTCGCCCAGATTCTACGCCAGCCGGACCATGTCCATCACACCTTGTGCCCATTATGCGGGTATGCCATATCCACCACATCAGTCGGCGAATGTGACGCCTGCTTGGCCACGTACAGCGAATTTGCCCTCACTCTCCTAACAACAAATGAACCAGAACCACCCGTAGGACTCTTGGTCAAAGTCGGACTGTTCGACCTTGTCCGCTGTAGCGGTATCTGTTGCCTGCCATTGCCATTGGCCACCGTCGCCATTGTTGGTGTTCGTGTTGGCGGACGCGACCTGTCTGTCAGCATCTGTTCCTCGCAGTTGTCGCAGCGACCGGGGGTTTCGTAGATATCGTAGAAGTGGCGGAACAAGGGGTAGAGGTCCCTGGCGTAGGGACGCATGTGGTAGTCGTAGTCCATCATTCTTCTGATGTGTCTGAGGACTTTGATGACGCCGCTTAGGGATGCTTCCTTCTCTCTTTGGCGAGCCTTGAAGGACTGTGATTTTGGCATGGACGGTGGGTAATTGGTTGATGGTGTAGGCTTGTCCGGTGATGAAGATGGAAGCGCATCAAGTTGGTCTTCTGCCATGTGCTCGAGGTGATCGATGTAGTCCTGCAAGTTGTCAAGCGCATCCGTGTACTTGAACTCGCCCACTTGGTCGGCGTTCCCTGCCATACGCTCAAGCCGCTCCTCTGCATACGATGGAGGTTTCCCGAGTAGTACGGTCACCATCTCGAGGAAGACACAACCCAGCGAGAAGACATCGGACCTCTCATCGCGCTGCGTCTCCTGCATCGCTTCTGGATCGGCATACTTGAGCGTCTTGGCAGTTGGTCCTTGCGAGTGCTGGCCTGTTTCAAAGTGCTTGGAAAGCCCAAAGTCAGTGAGCAGAGGAAAGCCATAACTGTCTATGACAACATTCTCGGGTTTGATGTCCTTGTGCCGTATCCGTACTGTCGACTTGTGTAGGTAGCTAACAGCTTGGGCTAAGCAACCGAAATATGTATGGAGATATTGTACCATCCAATGCTCCTCTGCGGCAGTTTTTGGTGAGTGGGCAGCAGCAGACGCGATGTCGAGCATAAAAGTCCGCAGATTGCATTCGGCGGGAGGGTACATGGCGATGCCGAGTATGTGACGCTTGATCTGTTGATCTACCCTCCTGAAGACGGCGCGAGCACCACCGGTCCCGGCAACACGGCGCTGGCGAACCTGGCGGTTGGAAATGCAATAGTCCTCAAACGAAGCTACGTAGACGACTATGTGAGGATGGCGCACCGCCACCATGTTCTGCACCTCTTGCAGTGCCAGCTTGCGGACATTGCTGTCGGGACCAGGCGGGCGTGTGTTTTCCTTGCAAACAATAACTTTGAGGGCCAAGGGTCGTCTGTAGCCTTGGCCATCTGGAGGGTTGACCTTGTAGACGATGGTCGAGCCGGAGTCACCCAGCTCGGGACCTATCTGGACAAAAGGCTGCGGAGGCTTGAGGTACTCCTTGTTGTCATGGTTAAAGACCTTGTGCTTCTTGGGACTGAGGCCAGCGTCCTGGACCGGACGAAGCCAGGCATCGGACTCTTCCCTGCCATGGTCGTCCCATTCAAAAAGATCATGGTCGTGCGTGGAGATGTAGTCCAGCATGTGGAGCATGGCCTGGGAGGCTTGGCTCCCGGCCGAATCGGTGGACATTTGAGTCCCGGCTTCCCACGTGCTAGGTCGGCTTGCTCAATATAGAAAGATAAAGGCACCCTCTCGTAAGCGGCGGGAAGCGATTGACGGGAGGGACAAAAAGGGGGGTTGGTTGGAGGGTGGGTTGCGGGCTTGGGGGGTGATGCAAGGGCCAAGCAGCCCAGCAAAGCAAAGGCTCCAGATACCTTGAGGCCGAGATGAGGCTAGAACGCAAAACTGTCAAATGGTGACAGGTTGGCACTGGTCTCAAACCTCCACACCACAGTTTTCGTGTCTTTCAAGGTGGTCGCCTAAGAAATGGCATTCCGTGGGGACTTTTCCTTGTTTCGCTGGTTGATTGTTGAAGCGGGGAATGCCCCAACAGGGCGGCCAGAACAGACACCGAATAAGCAGGCGGTGGAAATGCCATGTCTCGAAACGGGGCGGTAAATCCTGTGGTTGTGATAGGATCGCTCCTTTGGTTAGCAGGTATCCGGTTTGAAGCCCAAATCTGTACGGTGAATGCAGCGACTGGCTCGCGGTGAGAAGAACCCCAAGGCCCAAAGAACGCTGCGACAAGAGACAGACAGGCCGTTCAGCCCTCGACAGCCCTGGCGTCGTTCACCAATCCAGACTCTTTACCTCAAACCAGGTTGAAGCACCTCATCGGAACGCTCTTGGCCCAGCATGAAGGTAGGCATAGGAGGCTGTGCAAAAGAGAGCCGGACATTCTCTCTCTGAAGGCTGACCAAAACCGTCAGAGAAGTGAGCTCTCATATATCTGGTGTGGGAAGTGGTCATATTGATATTGCTCGTGAATTATTCAGTGCGCCGAATTACCAGTCCCAAAGTCCTAACCCAGGTGGTGCTTGTCCATCTTCCCCTGTAGCGCATCTTTCCGCAAGCGATGCGTAGCAAGTAAAAAAGTAAGTTTCAACCCCATCAACGGGATGGTTGATGGCTTCGCTTGGTTTCTTGGATGGTCAAAAACCAAGAAAAGCCGGCGACGGGAGCACCCCGCGTACGGGATTGCGGGACGCATCATGTTCACCCACGCACCCAAGCGCACCCGCGGTGCTGTTTTGATAGGGCGCATCACTGGGGCCGTGGCTTCAGTGGGGGCCTGGGCATGAATCCTGTTTTGTTCGCTTTTGTCGACGGGACGAGGACGGGAACGGGATTGACAGGAAGTACGGGAGCCCCAAGGGGAAACCCCCAAAAGGGCGACTTTGGCGAGGCGAGGGCCGAAATGTGGATGAGGTACGTATCTGTGGACAACTCTTCGTCTTCCGCGACCGACATCAGTTCTTCCACTTTCAACGGCGGGTGGTACCTACCTCTAGGTACGTACCTACTTCCGTAGGGCAGCAAGACAAGGGGCAAGGCCCGCCGGACCTGAACAACGCGCGGGAGAGCAAGCAAAGCACGAAGCGGGCGGGGTCACAAGCTCAACGTCAACACTTCCAAACTAGCCCAAAGTTGGCCTTGGCTCATGAAGATCAATTGACATCACAAGACCAGCCAGACCGTCGCACTCTCCTCTGCTATCTCGGCGTTTCTGCGCTTTTTTGTCCTGCTTGTCTATGGAAGTCATGGAAAGTGGAATCTCAACACCAAGGTCTTGCTCGTCCTTTCCTGTTGGGCACTCTGAACTATTTACAACTTGCAGTTGCATCGGGGTAATTCGGTACAGTTGTTACTGCTTGGAACTTGTGAGTTTTGGACACGATAGTGTGGTTGTCTAATGGAGGTAATTTCCCATCTTCTCCATCTATTCAAGATGCTCCTTCCTGTTGCGTACAGGAAAGAGTGGGAAGCATGGGGAAAGAAGGTGGGCATCCCGCAGTTCGGAGCTGACCATGACCATGACAGTGCAGTCTCAATCTCGTTCTGCGATGCGGACGGAATTTCTTCGTCACTGTCTCGGTTTCTTTTTCTTTCCCCTCTTCTACAACGTCTACAGCTGCAGGCACGCCGAACACGCTGTCTTCTCGAATGCTCACCGAATTCTGTCGAATTCGTCAATTCCCGTGACCCAAAATCAAAATTTCGTCATTTGGGACGCGACTCCACGGCATTTAGCGGATCGACAAATACGACAAATGTCACCCTTTCTTTCCTTTTGGTCGGAAGCAAGCGCCCATGTCAGAGAGAGTGTTGGCGGGCTGGTCGCGTAGTCGCTTGTAGTTGAATCAACGATGTCCACTTCGGCACTTCCCAATTAGGAAGCCCGGCCAACTGGCGATAGCACTCCCGCACACCTCAATGAATCATAGGAACTCATGGACCTTTTGCACACTGACGCTTTCTTGACTGAAAGTTGTGTGCCCGCACTCCCAATAGGAGCAGAACTGCGCTTTGAACTCGCCCGGCTAGCTCAATCGGTAGAGCGTGAGACTCTTAATCTCAAGGTTGTGGGTTCGACCCCCACGTCGGGCTCAATTCCCGGCGGCGAGTGAACAGTGTTCTTTTTGGCCTTTTGCTCCAGTTTTCTAACGTCAGCCATAGTGTTTGACGTAAAAAAAAAAGAACACCGTAACCGAGAATGAAGATGTTCGAGGAGAGTTTGGGCCGTCAGCCTTCTGTATGGCTACACAATGTGTGGCTTGTGTTTCGCCTTTTTCGCCTTTGCACATCTTCGGGGTGGTGGTTGAGCATCTTGGCAGTCCACATTTCTTATCTCATAGCTGAGGTGCGATAAGCCAACGAGAAGGCCTCATTCAAACGATCATCGGCCGACAGACGTAACCGCCGGGTGGTGTCGGGTGGCATTGCGAGGCATTGAGAGGCAAGGGGCATCATAGCAACGGAAAAGTGACAACACCATCAACAACAGCAAAAAGTCAGCACAGTGTAGGGGCGGCTTCTTGGCTTCTTGAAATCCTGACACGCTTTCCTGTTCCCGTCGATGCCGCTCCCGTCCCCAGGTCCTCTCCAAATCGCATTGTATATTTTGGGAAATCCGGTCGTTGCCCCTGGACGGGACTTGCCAGACTCCAGTTCTCCGTGGAAGATGTTGGTGGGGGGTAGCATTGTCAAAAATCAGGGGCGGAGACCGTGAAAGACAGAACAGGTCACAGGTTCATTCAGGTTTGATGAGCCTAAAATAACGTTATCAGTTCTGCAGCAGTTGGGAGTTGCTTCGATGTGCTTGGGGAGGGAGGGAGGTGCATGGTCGAGGCTCCTGGCTAGTGCATCGCGGTGGTGCCGGCGCATCGCAATGGAGAGCCGGAACAAACTCCAGTCGCGAATACCAGTCTTTTCCCGGGTTCAGTCAGAATTGGAGCGTTCTGGACTTTGTGTTAAATGTTCGAGGCTCCTTGTCGGTGCAAATCTTGTCCGTGTTGGTGGTTGTAAAAGGGAGAAAAGTGGCTCTTTTTGAAGACGACTCCGCATTTTCGGGGCAATTCTCCCCCTGCGACCGCCCATCCGCATTCGCGGCCTCTGGACATGTTCCATGCAGCAGGTACCTTCTCCCAGCAACAGCCATGATGCAGTGCAACCGCGCTGCAGGATGCGACGTTAGCGAGGCGTGGAGGTGGTCTTGGTGCTGAGGGGCCTGAGGGGAAAAAAAGGTACATTCTAGCGCGTACCGGGATTTTGGAGAAATGATTGGGCAGCGAGTGGATCCCCGCAAATGTTCCACCACTGGCCTGCAAGCGCAACAAAGCGTGCCGATCACTTTTTTTTTTCTCCAGAGAAACAGACGGAAAAAAATCAGCTGGGCAAGTTGACAAGATTACTGCCGAGAAAATCGATTGCGCATTCTTCCTGCCACACCTGCTCACACGCACAACACGAGCCAGGCCTGGGACAGGTTCGGAAGTCTGGGAGAGGAAAGAGTCCAATTAACTCGTTGCAGATTGCAGCAGGTCACAAGAGTCCAGCCCAGATTGCGCCTAGTCAGGGGAACGAGACTAGCATAGCTCGCATAGCCAGCATAGCCAGCAGCAGAAGCAGCAGCAGAAAGCGGGAGAAGCAGGAGACGCAGTCGCAGCTGTCCTGGAATAAATAAGGTAAACATGTCGCCCTCCATGTGGACGATGAGATGGTCGCACCAGGTCATCAATGTACACCATCAACAGTCTTGTTCGACCATCATCACAAGCCGCGCCCGTGTAGACAAATTCCTCAACAAGCCAGGAATCATCCAAAGAACAAGAGGCCCGTGCACCACCATCACCACTTTCAGCACTCGCCAGTTATCAGCACCGCCGATAACGTCAAGCTAGGGCCAGGCCTTTTATGACGTAGCCGCAGCAGCAGCTCGTCAACAGCGTCCATCACCCGCACCCGCACAGCAGCAGCAGCAGCGACAAGAAGAGCAAGAGCGATCACAGCGTCTCCTCCTCCGCACTCGGCCACGCAATAGCAGTCGCAGCCGCGGTCGCAACGGTCCTCCAGTCCATCATAGCCCTCCACTCGCTCACCTCCGCGCCTTCTGTTTGGCCCGTCCATCTTGGGGACGTCAATCCAGGGTCCTTCTCCAGCAGACGATCAGCTTTCCCCGATCTCGATCGTCTCCTCCACATTGTGTCACTGCTTCCGGCTGTGTCATAGGTATTGACTCTGTCAGACCTGCCTCATCCGCGACCCGTCTGAGTACTACAAGTACCCGGCCGCATTCAGCCTATTCAGCCATCCGGAACAGCATTCACAACCATCAGCTTCTTTCTTCATCATCCTTGTTCATCTCCCTTCATCTATACCAAGGCATACCACCACCACATCACCACCACCACCACCACCAACAATACCAGCCACCCCAGTTTCAGTCACACAAGTCACACAACCACAAAGACACACACCACAGACACACACACCCCGCACGAGTCACAACCACCACCTACTACTACCCCGCCTTATCCCGGCCCTACAAAAACAACTTCAGTCACCATGAAGTTACTCAACCTCAACGACGGCGTCGAGCCCGGCGTTATCTGCGTAGAACCTACCCTTGCAAACGATGGCATGGACGCCCGCAACCTAGCAAAGGCCCACAAGGGTCCCATTGTCAGCCACCTAGAGCACCTCCCCCGCGGCATCCACGAGACTTCTGAGGAGAGGAAAAACCACTGGTTCGTCGGCTCTGTCGACCAAGGCACTACCTCTTCCCGCTTCCTTATCTTCAACGGCGAGGGCGACCCCGTTGCCAGCCACCAGATCGAATTTGAGAACCTCTACCCCAAGTCAGGATGGCACGAGCACGACCCCATGACCCTTCTCAACTCGGTCGAGGAGTGCATTGAGGGTGCTATGCGCAAGTTCCAACGACTTGGCTTCTCCAAGAACGACATCCGTTCCATCGGCATCACCAACCAGCGCGAGACTACTCTTGTTTGGGACCACGAAACCGGCGAGCCTCTCTACAACGCCGTCGTCTGGCCCGACACCCGCACCAAGTCTATTGTCCGCGACCTCAAGGCCAAGGATGGCGCTGATGCCATCAAGGACCTCTGCGGTCTTCCCCTCTCCACCTATCCCAGCAGCGTCAAGCTTCTTTGGCTCATTGAGAACGTCGAGGCCGTCAAGGAGGCCTACGAACAAGGCCGCCTCGCCTTCGGCACTGTTGACACTTGGCTCATCTACAAGCTTAATGGCGGCGCCCAGGCTGAGAGCCCCGTCCACGTAACAGACAGCACCAACGCCAGCAGAACCATGTTCATGAACATCCGCACTTTGCAGTATGACGACAAGCTACTAGGATTCTTCGGTATTGACCGAACCAAGGTGCATTTGCCCAAGATCGTCCCTTCGTCGGACCCTGAATGTTTCGGTCGCATTGCCAGTGGCGCGCTGTCAGGTGTACCGATCGCCGGCTGCTTGGGCGATCAATCCAGCGCCCTGGTCGGCCAGTGCGGCTTCAACCCTGGCCAAGCAAAGAACACCTACGGCACCGGCTGCTTCCTTCTCTACAACGTCGGCACCGAGCCCGTCATCTCCCAGTATGGTCTTCTGTCCACTGTCGCCTACGACTTTGGCCAGGGCCGTGCGCCTGTCTATGCCCTCGAGGGCAGCATCGCTGTCGCCGGCTCCGGCGTCACCTTCCTCCAGAACAACCTCAACTTCATTGATAACGCTAAGCAAATCAACGACCTTGCCGAGTCGGTGCCCGATAACGGAGGTGTTGTGTTCGTCACTGCCTTCAGCGGCCTGTTCGCCCCTTACTGGATCGATGATGCAAAGGGAACAGTCTGTAAGTGATCGCCATTATCCACTCTTTCCGCACAGCTTTTCCCGACCCACTTTGGAGCATCATCCAAGTGTCACATTCATCCTACCTAGTTCCACAAGAAGATAAGAAGCTAACCTGTCATGTGCTCTACAGTCGGAATTACCCAACACACTCAAAAGGGACACATTGCTCGTGCCACTCTCGAGGCTACCTGCTTCCAGACCAAGGCCATCCTTGATGCCATGGAGAAGGACTCGGGCTGCAAGCTCAAGCTCCTCGCTGTCGATGGCGGTCTTTCCAACTCGGACCTGACCATGCAGACCCAAGCTGACATCAGCGGTATTCCCGTTGATCGCCCGGCCATGTGCGAAACCACTGCTCTGGGCGCTGCCATCGCTGCCGGCCTCGCTACCGGTGTCTGGAACGATACTGCCGAGCTCCAGGAGGTCAACCGGACCGGCCGGAAAATTTTCGACCCCAAGATCTCTCGCAAGTGTGCCGAGAAGAGGTTCAAGAAGTGGAACCAGGCCGTCCAGATGAGCCGCGGCTGGCTCCAAGACAACGACAACGAAGACGACGAGTGCGACGAGGAGGAGAAGAAGGCCTAAACTGGTCAACTTCTCGCCCTCTCACCCTTTTCACACACCTTTTTCTAGGTCCATCACCAAAAGATGACCTTGTACAACATTCTGCTCTTTTTGAATACTGCATTGGGATTTTGCGACGGAGTTTGGGAGGAGCATTTTGGATATTCTTTCTTTCTTTTCTCTTGTATAACCTATCATGATTGTGCTTTTTGCGAGGAGTTCTGGGCGAAAAAGGGCGAATGAGCAAAGCAACACGCGCATGAATAAGCGCGAATGGGACTGTCGGCGGGAATATTTGGCTTCATCTAATACCTTACGAGGATACCCTCATTTATTACTTGAAACACTAGCATTTTGATGAACATTAAGCAATATCACAAGAAAATTATTTTAACAAACTTCTTCCCTTGCAATGTGTGACCTTTCTCTTGCAGCTTCATATCTTAATTTTCTTGATTTGGTACCCTGCACAAAACAACATCCGTGATGACTTGTCTTCCGTTGATGTTCATGGTGGGCAAAAGACGGGACTGCGACCACAATCCTCTCACTTGAGATTCCGTCAACTCCCTACCTGCCATCCACCCATCAATCCCGGCCTGTTTGGACTTACCACACTTTGCGACATGACCGGCGTCATCCTACGAGCCTACTCAGGAGCACTTCCGTTTTCCTCGCTAAATAGACAGTCACCCGGGCATTTCCGACTTACAGAACACGAGTTCTGTAAAGTCACATCACGTGTCCCCAGATAGCTCCATCTGTTACATCCTTGGAGTGGGCTTTTCCTTTTTACCGACGATGGATGCTCTAGGAACATCGTGACATCCTCCCTTCTCGTCCCCCGATTCTCGTTCGTCCGGTTTGCTCCCAAGTCGCGGCAGTGGGAGTAGGTAGGTACATATGCAGAGTGAGGTGCTGTTATCGTGTCATTCACACACAACCTTACATTGGTATACATGACAGGTATATAGCGGTAGTCTATCTGTGCAGGTGATAGGTTGGAGGTTTAGTGGCATGTCGGAATCATGTCAGATGTGCGTAAGGTACCTCTACGCGTCGATGAATGTCGGTTAATACTAGTGTGTACTGCTAAGGTGAGGTATGGATATGCATGTACCCCACATTATATCATGTCTTCTTACATTAGGTAGTTGTTTTGCCTGGCTCCGCGTTGGTTCTCTTTGGTCTGTGTCGTGTCTGTGAAGATTCGAAAACTGTCCTTTGCCAAAGTGATCATCTCTCCATAAAAAGTACCTATCTTCATAGATTCTGGCGGTATCACTTGGAACTGGGAATATGGAAGTGGATGTACCTAGGTGGTTGACACTCAAGCGAGTGCGAGCGGAATGTTGCAGCAAACCTCAGTCAAACATAAAAAATGGTGTTTCGTACTGCTGCCATTGAAGGTCAATCGTCTTTGGCTCTGTCTATTGTCCATCTAGAAGGTTTCAAGTTCCGGTATGTACCAACATGGCCGGAACGTGTTGAGGAGAGAGGTATCGAGGCGGATGATATCGTCAGAACAAAGCAGACTTACAAGTCATTCGTCATGCACAGATGAACGATGGAACCCATTTATTATTAGAGACGGTTGTTGATTCAGGCCACACAAAACTCCGCTCTCCCTCTCCTCAGAGTAAAGAGTACCGATAGATAAACGTCGGACAGACGACCACATCGACGATAACCGCGGTTGATCACTTTACTCTATCTTCACATCAAGCAAATTCACTCCTTCATAACATCACATGTATACCGAGAACCACCACGCCAACTCTCTCAACAGCAAGAGTGTGAAGAAAGCTGTACGGTACAGTGAGATGCAGCTAATTGCAGGACGGAATAGCTACCTAACTCCGATTTGCAGTTGGAGGAATGCAATGCGAGGTAATGTGATGCGAAGTCAACAAGATGCAGGAGCAGGGCAATGTAAAGGATAAAACAGAACAAGAGTACATGTACCTGAAGTAACTTATGTGATGCAAGACAAGGCAGGATAAGGAAATGCAAGGCGAGGCAAGGTAAAGCAGATACGGCACGGCATGAAACAGACAGATAAAGGCAGACTACACTGCAGTTTACATGTGCTTCCATGTGACCGAGGCATCTTTCGAGATGATTTCGGTGTTTATTTTGGGCATATCGTCACCTCTATGCGAAGCTTGGAAAGTCGCTAGATGAAAATAACTGGTCAAAACTGACTGAAGACATACGATGTTCATAAGCTGAGCTTCTTTCTTTCTTTTTCTCTCTTGACCAGATCCCCCTCCATCATTTCCTTTCTCGTCTTGTAAGATAGACCGCCCCGGCCTGTTGTATGTTGTGTTCTGCTGAAAAGACCACACGACTGGGAGTCCTTCTCTTTCTTACACATTCCTTCAACCGCCGTCAACATGTCACTGCCGGTACGTACAGCTTTCCACTACAGCCATACCGAGCATCACCATATGGCCACCGTGACACTTCAAGTCGAGAGAGAGAGTGGAATTGTTCAATTGTGAGTCAATTGCGTGAGAGTGTCTGACCACCCTATAACCCATTTTTCATGCTATAGCATAACAAAGCCTTTCAACAAGCGTTGCCAAAGTCCAGACTCCTTTTTGACTTCCCATGCGGTTTTCAAGATCCCCCCAGAAATGCATTGTCCTTTGCCTACCAAAGGGCAATAAGTTCGCATGCAACAAATGCAGCTTCGTATACTATACAATGACACGCTCAAAAAAGGACGATATTACGTATAGCGTGTATCTGTTCCGTTTCTCGAAAACCATCTTTCAAAGTCATCCGCCGTGAGAGTCGTTCCGCGCGGGGCACCTTTTTTGGCGGACCATGATGCAAAACGCGTCGAGCCGAAAAGAATATCAAAATCGAGGAGGGGAGAAAGCCGGGACGATTGTGTGTTTTGCGGTTTAGCGTCGGCACAGGATGACAGAGGCCGAATCACAAAGAAGAGTAAGGCAGATAAAAACTCGTATAGGTAGAAAAGGTACGGCGGTGTCGAGAAAGATCTAAAAAGGTGGTATATTTTTGAAGAAATTAAGATGAATGATTATGATAGCTCGTCTCGTCATCGTTACGGTCGCGGAAAGTCAGGACTAGATGGCTTCGTTTACATGATAATGGCCGGTACGTCGACGTTGGCCTTGATGGTCTTGTGTGGCAGTACGCTGCCGCCGTTAACGTAAATCTCGTCGCCAATGGTGACATCGTCGCCTAGGACTGTCACATTCTCGAGACGGGCCCACTTGCCGACCGTGCTGTTCCAGCCAACAATGGTGCTCTTGACCCAAGCGTGGTCCTTAACCTTGGAGTTTTCGAGCAACACGCAGCGTTGCAGGCGGACACCGTCGCCAACGACAACGTTGGGGCCGATGGTGACGTTGGGTCCGATTCTGCAGTTCTTGCCGATCTTTGCTGAGGGGTCGATAAGAACGTTGCCGCCGTAGACGTAGGGCAGAGTGGTGGGAGCGAGCTCCTTGGAGCCCTTCTTGGTGAGGGAAGAGAGATAGAGGCAGGTACCCGTCAGGAAATCCTTGGGCTGACCGACGTCCATCCAGAAGCCCTCGAGGTCGAAAGAGTGTAGCTGACCGTCCTTGACCATGGCGGGGAAGGTCTCCTGTTCGATGGAAGTGGGCCTCAACTCAATGCGGTCAATGACTGAAGGGTTGAGGATGTAGATGCCGGCGTTGATGCGGTTGCCGACGAACTGTACGGGCTTCTCGACGAAGCGATCGATGCGGGAGGGGTGGTTGGGCTTGTGAACAACGACACCGTACTTGGAAGGCTCCTCCACCTTGGTCACCACGATGGTACCCTCGTCTCCGTGGGCCTTGTGGAAGGTGGCGAGCTCCTTGAAGGGGTATTCGCAGGTAACGTCGGAGTTGAGGACGAAGAAGGGAGTGTCATCCTTCCTGAGGACCTCCTCGGCCAACTTCAGGGGACCAGCAGTACCCAGGGGCTCGTTTTCGATCGAGATGGTGATGTTAATGCCGAACTGCTTCTCGTACTGCATCGGGAGAAGAAGAACGCGTTAGCAAGGGGCCTTAGTCAGGGGACCTTGGTCTTGGAAGGAGCTCATCACTTACCTCAGCCAAGTACTTCTCCATAATTTCAGGACGATAGTTCACGGCGAGAACAATGTCGGTAACACCGGCCGCCGCAAGGGCCTCGATCTGGTGCAGAATCATACGCTTGTTGCCGAACTCGACCAGGGGCTTGGGCATGGTCAAGGTCTATATTGAGAGCGTCGTTAGTCATGACGTCGACGTGGTGGCCAAGGGGGCTACCAGGTTGCAGGCAGGCCAGTCACGAGGCCATGTCATGGCACGGCCCGGGATCGGTATGCATGGTATGGTATAGTATGGGGGTCGCTTACGAGAGGGCGAAGGCGAGTGCCAAAGCCGCCGACGAGAATAAGAGCTGTAGCAGGGGGGACGCGTCAGTCAGGGTTCCCGTCATTGTAAGGCTCGTTGTGTGTGGCCAGAGCACCACCACCAGGAAAGTGGCGGGGAGGGGAAGGGGGGAGGGATTGAGGAGAGCTTACCCTTCATGTTTGCTGGTGTTGGTGTGGTTGTGTTGGGGGAATGTCGGTCGTAACGGTCGTGATAGACAACGAGCGTATCGAAGAAAGGGTTGTTCAACGAGTGTAAGAAGGAAGGAAGAAGCTGGAAAGGTTGCTTGCTACAAGGCGTGCAAGAATCCGGGCGTTGTAGAAAGGGGGAAAGTGATTACTATAGCCTCTTGTTGGCGGGAATTAACAACGACCTGTCAAGTAAGTACAGGACGGTGGACGGTAGAAGGTAAGATGGAGGAGGAATAGTAGTGGTGGTGGTGGTGTGTCCGGAGGACGAAAGGTGTGGTTTGGAGGTGGGAGAGGTGGGATGATGAATGTTTGTTGGTTGAGGACACTCTGGATCTTTTTTCGAGTCGAGGGTCCCGGACGGTCGAGTCTCTTCCACTGAGGTGTCCGCCCGTGCCTGTGTTGCGTGTGTGTGCTGGGTGCTGGGTGCTGGGTGGTGGCTGCTGAATGGATGGTCTGAGGCTGCCATCAGTGGTTGGCCTGTCCTTCCTCCCACTCAGCTTTCCCCTGGCTGGAACAGGGGGGGGGGGGGCGGCAGGTAGGCTAGGGGCAGGTCGCACCCCGTCCACTTGAGTTTGGCTCCCGCACGCAGGCATCTCGCCAAGAAACCCTCTTTAAAAAGAGTACGTACCGACCTCAGTGCTTACATGGGCGGTCTCGACGTTTCCGTAACGAATTCCATCCACACTTCCCATTTTCATCCACTTCTGCCACTATATATCACCCATTCCAGACTTCAATTCCTGTACTTACCGTCTCACCACTGCTCTGTGCAACGGCAAGGTGTCGTTGCTGTTTCCATCTCGAGCTGGTTTGGGCATGGCGCAGCAGCTTCTGGTGGATTCCCTGTGATTTCCTGGTCCATGCCACTGCACCAAAGGCATGCTAAAACGGTCCGCTAGCGGTTCCTGTGGCTCGTGCTCTATCTCCGGTTGCTCTCCTTCTGCGTCCACTTTGGTCAAGTTGGGGAAACCTGGAAAGGGGCACGGCCTCAAACGGACATCTCCCATTGGCTTGATGGTCGGCCAAAGAGGGGCAGACCAATCAAGAGAATCAAGCGGGCTCGCCAATCAAACCACATCAATCTCCTTGACGAGATTGGCTTGCGCCGTTGCAGAACACGATCCCCTGAATTTCCATCAATGCTTCTTTTGTTTCGGTGCCCCTTTTTTTAGTGTAGCCACGGCGCCGCCCGAACAGGTCCAACGTCAACGTCGACGACATCAGACCTTGCCAATTCGATAACCGAATTGCGCTTGACTTTTATCACGATAATCTGGAAGATGTTTCAGGTTCAGGTTCAGACAATTGGTCTGTGTGATCAACTCAAACGCCCTCTTCCATCTCATCCCATACATCCTCAACTAAACCACCTCATACACGAGCATACCTATACACACGCAACAACCCCCAAACCTGCCCCTCCGTCTCAAAACTGTCATGTGCTCCATCTTCCGCCCGTGGGTCGTGGGTCGTGGAACTTTTAGCAGCACACCACGTCCACACCACGACCCCACGAATTACGCAACAAACCTGCTTTTTGGGAAACATCGTCAGAGTTGGCCGAGGCAGCATGCGCTACTCGAATCAAATAACAAGAAAAGAAACATTGTGAGTTCCGGGCACATGTCTGACTCTTCTCACGATATGTACCTATCTTTTATCGGATTGTGGGGGAACGTGAGCAGTTTTGAAGCCGAGCGCCATTTGCAGATCCTCAAAACAGGTCAAAACAAGCTTCCTTGTCGAGGAAATGAAGGGTTGTTTTTATCCACCGCGGTGATCTCGATACCGGCCGGATACACTTGTGATCCAGACATACCCCGAGATGTGGAAATGGGCTTACGTACGCGCGACGTAGCTGTGCACAATACACTATACCACTCACCTCACATTCAATCATCATTCAATAGTCTGGACTTCAAGATTGCATTTTAGCTAGAGTGTCTAGGTAAGCTCGTATGCCATAACCTGAGGAGTGAGACCACAGTCACCACACTTGAATATCCTCCTCGATAAACCTCGTATAACAACCGCCACCACTTACCACACCAAAGCAGGTACGAGAGATCGCATCGAGCCCTTTAACTACCGTTCTTCATTAGATACCCCCACGAACATCACCACATTCGGAAGTGGCCTGGAGTCATGTGCACACAAGCATAGCTAAACCTGAAATATATCATGAGATTGTGTGCACGTGTAGGTAATGTATAATCCACAACCGCCACAAAACAAGGATATCCATCACTCACCAATTAGCTTTCTAACCTTCGATGAAACAAGCACCGCCACGTTTTTACATGTATCACAGTATATACCGTTCGTTGCTGGAGCCGCCAATCTCCGGTTAAAGACACAACTGACAGACAGTCCATGACTGAGTTGGTTGAATTGGCCGACAAAGTGACAATCACCGGCGCCACAAAGCGCTGATGATTGCGATCATCATCATTGAGCGCCGAAGCTTCGGCTTTGAACTTTCTTCCTTCCTTCCCTTGTTCCTTCCTCAGTCTACCTCTACATCTCCTCATTCTCCCGTTCCATGATTATGTAGTAACACCCTCACTCACTCACTCGTCAATGACCCTTGAGAACCTCCAGCCTCTAAAGTACACTAAAGTGGAAGTTCCATCTCCGTCCGGACTGAACCCTTGATATTTTGACTTAAGTCTGTGAGCCATCTCCGAAACTGACCGACCCTTGACTTTGACCATGGACCCTGACAGTGGTCTGGTAACCCCAATCAAGTTGGATACTTTAAACTTCGAACGTAAGTACCCTTACCCTGGTGAGCCTGGACGGACTGGACCCCCCCTATCCTCTTTAGTCACGCGAAGCGCCAAGTACCTCCAATCCGTACATATCCCATGTGTCATGACCGTCTACCGGTAACCTCTCCTGTTACGTATGTTCTCTTGTTCTTTCTTCCTTCGTAAGTGTACTTCTGTCCTTCTCTTCCCTACCTCGCTTGGATCATGTAGAAGCGCATCGCGCCCCTAGGATTCTAGTCTAGTCTAGTAGGCACGCCTAATGCCAATACACCCTCGACCTCTTTCCGGGGCCCCCGGGCCCTCCCCTGAGAAGCACCATACATACACCACACCCAGGCATATATGATTCACCCCTTCATCGCTTCCACGTGGAGGACAAACGGACGGACGGACGGCAAGGCCGCAGGCCGCGGACTGGATGGGGAGGGGACTATGGGTCAAGCTCTACAGGGGAAGCAGTGTAACCCTGAGACAGGGTTGATGGAGCATATCAAATTGGGATCGGGGTATAGGGCTGAGGTTGGCCGGGATGGGCTATGCTGGACCACTTAGGCTGGGTCGAAGTCGCGAAATACTTATGCACTAACAGATTCTCTGATGATTCTGCTGAAATGTTGTTAGCAAACAGTACCCACTCCTCCTGAGCCTATATTGACGGCTTAGCATCTCACAGAGAACAGCAACCACCAAACTCAAATAAGGTCGCGAGAAAACAGTTGTATTCTTTTAATCAGTCATGTCGTCGTCATCGTCACCCTCTATCTTGTTCGCAGGTGCGACGCGTCATATACGCTTCGTTACTTCCATGGTGCTGCCAACATCCCCTCCTCTCTCCACCTCTATCTCCCCGGCAGCCAGACCCTTCACCCACCAGCACTAAAGTCCCTTGGTACTCGTCCTCAGCGTCTCTTGGAAAATGCCGTTTCGTTAAGTCGTAAAATCGTGAGTAGTGATACTGAAAGAGAAAAAAGTAAAGAAAAACCGTGCAACTCCCAAGCCATTCCCCAGCGATACACGATAGAGAAAAAAAGTAGAAGTGTTCCAACCAGTCCGACATAAGCCAAGTTCGCCCTTCGCTGGTCCAATGGATCCCTGCCTCCCGGTTCAAAAAAGCAGATAGAAGTCTTGCGGCAAAGCATAGGGACCTATGAATGGACTGCTCCAAGGTCTCATGAAGACGCAAAACCAATTAACTCCAGGTATAATGAGTGTGTGTGGATTGCGTCAAAAGGCAACTGGAAGTGCGTCCCAAACCAGAAAGTAATGGCCATATAAAAGCATGTTGCCTCATTGTCTCGGGCTCAAGGGTCCATCGAGCCAAAAGCTTTGCAGTCGAAGGCGGTCTTTGGATACCACTAAGCTCTCCAAAATTGACACAAAGCAACGCTGTGGACAATCCCTTATCACCTGGATCAGGCTTGGGTCCTTATTTCCACGCCGGGGCCATCCAATCCAAGTACGGCTGTACTTCCACGGTACGGGACGAAGCTTTCCTGAGGCCCAAGGAGGCTTAAAAAAACAACCAAAAACCTGTCAAACATGGGAAGGGAAACCACGAGAGCCCAAAGTAAAAGGAATGAAGATGCATCGTGACAACGCGTCAGATCAATGTATCTATATGTCGTAGGTCGTCCAGTCATGAATTGTGCCGATGTAGCTTTTGTGCGTGTAAAAACCAGTCGTGATGCTATTCGTTCGTCTTTTGCCGAGTCGTTGATTGGTCGTCACCCAGGGGTATAAATCCCGGGTCTCATGATGCTGTGAAGCGTGAAAGAAGTTTAAAAGAAGAAGAAAATCCAAATCCGCTGATGAAGAAAGCACCGTGATTTCTTCAATGGGCTGTGCTGTCATTTGCCAAGGTATGGCGGCTCCATGGCCCTCATTCCACCGAAGTAATCGAGCTGTTGCTTGATTCGTCTCCGGAATGCCGATTCCGGTGTCCCTGGGTATAGTGAGAAGACGGTTGGGGACGGCTGGTCCGTCTAGACTTCTGTTTGGCCTCGTCTGCTGGCAGTCCTTGGACGATTCCGTTGCGGGCTAGCATCCCTCCATTGACCGAGAAATTTCGGCAGACCATGAACGCACGCATGGCCGCGTTTTCCTGGGCGAGTCCGTGTGATTCATATGGGATATCTGTCTGGTATTCGCGGCCGTTGACGAGAACCAAGCAGGTAAAGCCACTGCCGTCACGGTAGCACTCGTAGGAGGGATCATGCCATCCACGCCGCCGGCAGAGACCTGTGTAAGAACCCAAATTAGCGGCTTTCCTCATCAAGATGTCAATAGTACCGAGGCTCGATCCTAACCAAGATGTGGGTAACGCAGTAGGCATGCGCAGATGGATTCCGTGACTGCGTGGCAGCCGAATACGGATGCCTCAGCCCTATGAGCAGACCAGGGTCGGCTTGATCTGTGGGTAACGGGGGGGCAAGATGACACCTGGTGTACGATCTCTGGAAGAAGAAAGAGGCGGGACATCTCCATGTTGTGGAAATCTCATGCAGGGGTAAACCATTCCAAAGGGGGAAATGTCATGCCTCGTGACAACACCCCACAACAAGATTGGTAGTGTAGGATTTGCAATTACGTCGGAAAGCGATGTTTGACAGCAAAGGTTGACGCTTGAGTGACTTACTTTCCAGATACTGCATGTAGAAACCAGCCATGGTGTCGGATTTTTTCTGTGGAAAAGGGTATTCCAGGAGAAGCAAGATAGAGATGAAACGGTAGAATGTATGAGATCCAACAAACGATGGGAGGTGACGATAGTGAAAAGGAAGAAGTTGAGGAGGCCGCGGGTAGATGTCCGGGATCCGAGGATGTGATGCAATTGAGCCTAACTATCAGGCCAGAGGAGATGCGAGACAGTGCCAGAAGCAGGCAGGTATGGGCGACGACGAAGCTGCATCAGCTTGATGAGCAGTCAACGGCGAGACATGTGTGCTTTACATATTGCAGTGAAGGAGCAGCTTCGTGCGGGGCAAGGGGGAGGCAAAAATGTCCGAATTCAGACGCCAAAGAGACGACATGAGGGAAAGCCAGACGGACAGGAGGAGAAAGTGTTCGTCAGATGCAATGTTCGACCGTCGAGATGCGGCTCAAAGTGTGACCCATCTTGATGCGCTGGCATTGTCGTTGCCAGTTGATAGAGCCGGAGACCGGGCCAACTCCACACCTCACATACACCACCCATGGGGTATGCATTGACATGCCTGGGGGGAAGATCTGCTTTGATAAGTCGAGCCAGTCTAGGATTGGAATGGGCATGGATGGAGCCCGACACCAATTGTGCGATATTTTCTTTTCCTTTTCCGGCACCTGGCTCGACGACTGGATCGGCCTCCACATGTTCTTCGGCCTCTCTCGCCGCCCTGGCACGCCTGGATCGTGTCCCATCGCTGGACGGATGAGATAGGCTCGCGAGGCGTTTTGGGTATGCAGAGTTAGGCGTAGCAAGGTGGCGAAATGGGATGCCCGAGAGCCAGTCTGGTGCTTCAGTCGAGAAATCGAAGCAAGAATCGAAAATTCGGCAGCAAGCGGTCTTTTGCCGGCAACCAGTCAAGATTCAGATGTGGCATTTTTGGTGAAGCCGAGGGGTGCCAGAAGAAAGGATGTGCCTGGCTCGCAACTCGGCGGCACGAAAAGTAATCGATGAAGAACAGCAAGCCCGGCAAGATCCATCTGACTGGTGGCTCTTTGAACCACTCATGCAGCCTGGACTATGGCATATCCAGCGAGTATCCTATCCTATGGAGTTTTGTGCTATCGATACTATCGACAGACGGACCGCAAAGGCCTCGGCGGTACCTTTTTTCAGTAGAGGTGCGTCTCCACTTGCTATGCTACCGTAGAGATCAACGGCAGAAGGTAAAATAGCATCAAAATTCGGCGGGTCCTTATACGCTGCATGAACCAGCCAGGAACGGGGTTGGGGTTGGGGTTGGAGCCCGGGGGGGGGGGGGGGGGGGG